GATAAGTACAGCTAGCAGTTAGTTCAAATAATTGTCCCCTAGGCCTAGTAGTTATTCTTCACGTAAAGTTTATTGTTATTACCATTACTTGGAAAACATCTTGATCCAAGAACAATGTTCTGGAGAGTTAGAAGAAGAATATATTTTCATGAGAAATCAATGATCTCTCTTGACCAGAGAAAGTCATTTCTATAAATGTAAGATGAACTCTTTGCTGATGTCTGATGAGCTTATCAGAAACGCATCTGCGTCTTGGACGGACTTGTCAAAGAAATTGATCCAAGAAGCGGAAGAAGGGAATAACTTGACTTCTCCCCAAATTGAGTTTTTATTTTATTATTGTGCCTAAGAATGGTTTCCATCATTACACCAAATTATTTGACTGAATTCCAAGCAGTTTAGGAGAAAATCCACATGGAAAAAGGGTATAACTCAACTTAACCCCTTTTACGGTCTAAATTTCATTGGAAATTGGAGATAACTCAACCGAAGTCCACATGAGTCCGTTTGACAAATTGGCAAAAGGATATAACTCAACTTGTATTTTTATGAATCTAGTGTAAAAAGAATCAACTCATCTTAACCCCCCCTTAATTTTAAATTTCAATTTGGAAAAAAGAGCTAAGTCCAAAAAATACACCAGAGTAACATACACTTTATGCAGACTATTGTTCCACTTGACTTGTCTCCAAATTCCTCTTTGTTTAGGAAATATAAGGTGAGCTGACTCTGTTTTCCATTTCAACGGAAAGCGATAAGTCGCAGAAATCCTCTACGGAGTGACCTTACACTTTTGATTTTTTTCCAAAATTTTACTAATGCTTTTTGAAATTATTAACATCTGCAAGATTCATTTGTTTTGTTTTAGTTTTCCCTGCTGACAGTTTTTGGTTTCTCCTGAAAAATGGCCAAAATTGAGTTATCCACTTCTTCCGCTTCCTGGATCAATTAGTGTAGTTGACCGCCCAACTCTCTTCGGTCCAGGGCTTGCGCGCTGTGCCCATCAACTGCGAACGGCCAAGCTATGGCGCCAATCCTTTCCCTCCTCTTCAACTCTCTTCAGCAGCAAGTTAAGATAGCGAGGCAGCGACAAGGAGTTGATTTCATTGTCCCCGAGCCGCCTCCAAATTTGGTAAGACTAAGCATAAAGTCTCAGCATCGTCCTCACCGTCCACTCTCAGAAAGTCAAGTCGGTGCATGGTCGACTTTAGAATTGATGCGTTCTATGCAAAGTAGCGTGGCACAGTACGACAAAATATGCGGCGACCATGCGGAAATTCCAAAAAGTTTCAGTTTGTTCGTGCCCCACCATCCCGTATAATGTAAGGAGTATTTACCTGTAGTGGTGTGTATGAAGAGTTTTTCACCTTGTGGGTGGAGTCAAACCAGGCACTCACTTGGAATTCGAGAGAGTTTGGAACGACGCCGCGGAGGCAGCCCAAATGTTGCGTTGGTCCAAACAAATGAAAATCGCTTTGCAGTTGGAGCAGTGCCGCCTGGCCAGGTTGCAATCGTGCGAAACGCACTTTGTCCAAACACCTGACGGCTACATTCTGGAATTACATCACATCCCTCCAGCCACCGCCGGTGCGATCCCGGTGCTGGTGTTGCACGGCAACTTCGGCACGAGTGACGGCTTCCTCATGCGCACAGACCAACCCAACCTTGGTAGAGTGTTTCCGATGGCCGGCGGCTTAGAGGAGAGGTACCCACTCCAGACCTGCTACGAAATATGGGAGCCCATGTCGCGTAAACGGGGATATTTGCTTGGGCACCGCACAGTACACACTTTAGTGCTCTGAGTGAGCACTCAGTTCATACTTAAGTTCAGTGTGCTTTCACTGTTTCAATTGACTAGTTTATTCCATTTGTGTATTTAGGGTTAAAGCTTGTACGGTCGTCGATACAGACACTGCACACCTGTATTTCGTAGCAGGTCGAGCGTACTTTTTTTGAGTGTTGTGTTACCCGCTTTTTGTATATATATCAATTTTTTTTGTGATAAGCTACAAGTCTGCACAGGCTGGCTATGATGTCTGCTCGGCAAACTGGCGTGGTTCTTTTCGTTCCAAGAGGCATGTGCGGTTGAACTCGTCAGACCCGGCATTCTACAATTCAGGCAAGTTGTGCGAACTGAATCATAAAGTTGCAAGTTGCGTCTTCACGGGGTTTGTAAGAATTTTTGGCACTTTGTTTACTCAATCCAATGGGCAGGGTTGAATGTGATATTCACGACAACCCATTTGAAGAAGACATCGTCAAAGACTCCAAAGAAGTATTGTTTTATTACAATCGAACTGTCAGAAAACAGCACCGAGGGCTACAACATGCTTGTAATGTCCGTGGCTGCAAACTTAAAGGAGAGGTACCACTCCAGACCTGCTACGAAATATGGGAGCCCATGTCGCGTAAACGGGGATATTTGCTTGGGCACCGCACAGTACACACTTTAGTGCTCTGAGTGAGCACTCAGTTCATACTTAAGTTCAGTGTGCTTTCACTGTTTCAATTTGACTAGTTTATTTCCATTTTAGTGTTATTTTATGGTTAAAGCTTGTACGGTCGTCGATACAGACACTGCACACCTGTATTTCGTAGCAGGTCCGGAGCGTACTTTTTTTTGAGTGTTGTGTTACCCGCTTTTGTGTATATTATATCAATTATTTTTTGTGATAAGCTACAAGTCTGCACGAGGCTGGCTATGATGTCTGGCTCGGCAACTGGCGTGGTTCTTTTCGTTCCAAGAGGCATGTGCGGTTGAACTCGTCAGACCCGGCATTCTACAACTTCAGGCAAGTTGTGCGAACTGAATCATAAAGTTGCAAGTTGCGTCTTCACCTGGGTTTTGTAAGAATTTTTGGCACTTTTGTTTACTCAATCCCAATGGGCAGGTGTTGAATGTGATATTCACGCCAACCCATATTTAAAAAGATAATGCACAATTTTCGCTGGTATGGGTTGAGGGTAATTCCTGCATTTATAAGCGTACGGCGGTGAAAGCGGTTCCTAGTTTTCCCAGGTAGCCTATGCACTGTAAATGTCTTACAGTGAAAGGATGCACCGTGGATATTTTCTCCATAATACCAACGAAATTCGTCAAAATATCTATAAGGTGCAGTGAATTCTGAATAATATGTTATGAAGTCAGCAGCACTACCATAATATGGAACATTTTCACCATAATATGGAGAATCCTCACTGTACAACATTTAGAGTGTGGTAAAGATAGGCTACCTGGGAAAACCAGAAACAGCCGTCTGGGATGTCTATTATTTCGTTTTTGTGCAGTATGCAGGACATCGGCGGCATCGACGTACCAACCTTCATCGATTTCATCCTTGACCGCACAGGACAGCCCTCCCTGCATCTCATAAGTCACTCCATGGGATGCCCTGTCACTCTCATCGCACTGTCAACGGTAAGGATGGGCGGATAGTGCACTAGCACAGATTATTTCATAAGTTTAACCGGCCAGAATGAAGAGGCCTTTGATTAAACGTTCAAATTGTATGCATTTTATTGAACGTTACAGCGTCCGGAGTATAATGCCAAGGTGCGTTTTGCTGCACTCATGGCTCCAGTGATTTGGCCACGCAACACGCTGCAAGTACTGGCTACCCTCCTGTTCGACGTGTTTTCCAATGAGCTTCGGGTAAGTACGTAACAAACTTACGTGGTAGGCGCTGCAATATGATCCATTAAGATGAAAGAACTTTTAGGAAGTTTCATAGAAGTGCTTCAGAATATTTCTTTTTTACAAAAACAAAGCTTCTTTACATCACTATTCACATCAATTGTTGTCTTTGCCTCTTGTTTAATTTCAGGCGTTTATGAACCTAACCAAGCTCTGGAACCTGATTCCAAGATCGGCGTTTTTCCACAACTTGGGAGACTTGATGTGCAGAGACAATTCACCGCTGATCGAAACGTGTTGGTGGGGATTTGAGCTGATATTCGGCAAGTCGCACCCTTCTCAGCGTATGAAGGTAAGAGGTTCTCCGTGGAGTGATATTTTAGTTATACTGCATTAGAAATTACATTTTTTAAGGCATCCCTTTCTTTTTGCCCAGGAATTTATTCCATCCGTATTAGCCACTCATCCAGCAGGGTCTACTTTCAACATCCAAACCCAGTACGCCGTATTCAGCATAACCGGTAACTACCTGTGTCAATAAATGGCTTCAGATCAATTTTTGTGGGTCATTATGCACAATACCTCATTCGTGATGGAACCTGCTTGGGGAATGAGGGCACCGTAAAATCGTTTCCTGGTTTTCCCAGGGAGTCTATGGTAAAGGCTTAGGCAATTTCCAGGGAGATACTGGGACAACGAGGAACCGTTTTACCCGTGTTGTTTGATTGGGCGATGGCTATGTAAAACCATGTATCCGTACGAAATTATTTCTCTGATGAAACTTAAGTGTAATTGTTGCACACTTCATTTAAATGTAGAAAAGAAATTCTCCGATGGATTTGAAGTAGCAGGAGAGGAGCGGAGTCACAACCTCTACGCTTGAAGCGAAGCGTTGCAGCTTCAGATTTTAAAATTCAAGTACTGCTTGAAACAAAGAGGTGATAATCCTACCATTTACGTCACTGTTCAGCATTTGCTTGGTTGTTTCAGGCCGGTTCCGACCTCTAGGGAAGGGAATCAGAGATCCACAACCTCCTCCCGATTACAACCTCACAGCAATCACCACACCTGTCGGACTCTACTATGGAGCCACTGACGCAACCATGGCAGTAAAGGTAACAAAATTCTATTGAGCAACACAGAAACGGCAAGAGGCACGCTTATAACCATTCAAAGTACTTAGAGCATGTGTAAGGCACAGACACTCGAAAAAATTCATCACAAACCATGATGTGTTTTCTTTATAACTTTGAACACTGTTTGAAAAAATCCGCACTTTGGCACGGAAAATGTTCAAACGAAGTGCGGAAAAGAAGGATGGGCCAATTACGCTTGATTTCAAGCATGAACTAATTACGCTTGAAAACAGAGGGTAATACTGCGCTTTAGTTTCACCCGTGTACATGAAAAAAATTGTTGAGATGTTTAAAGATACATGCCTAATTCGAGTATTGCTTTCCAAGGATATGGTCCGCTTGGAGCGGGCCCTCCCGGTCCTAGAAGACAGCTACCTCGTTCCTCTGAAGCACTTCAGCCACTTCGATTTCCTCACAGCAACAGACGGCCGCAGTGTCCTCTACGACCGCATTATTCAGAAGATGAAGACTGCAGATTACAGAACGACTTACGATTAAATTTAGGAATTTAAGTTCTGCACTAAAGACCTAAGATATTGACTGTTTCTATCCGATAACTGAATCGTACGAAGAGAATGTTTCTTTACCGCATTCGGATCTCGCCAACAGAGAAAAAATTATTTTCTGCCGTTTGATATTTTTATAATATAAAAGAACTAACAAGAGGAATGATTTATTTACACTATATCTCCATAGCGACAGCCACCGGTATCACAGACATTTCCTTAAGCTCCTGGTGCTGCACTGGGCAGCTTCGCCTGAAACAGAACACGCATATTAGGGGACAGGCCTTCTCGGTAAGAGTCATGAAATGTTCCTTGACTAAAACGGATTGTTGTCAAATCCACGTGAAGCTCTTTGTAAAGGAAACAAGTTTAAGACCAAGAGCGAGCGTGACTGAACTGAAGGCGCAAGATGCTCCTGGTCCAGTTTGAACATTCAAGGCTCCCTAAACACTGTGAACCAGAAGACCGGTGGAGGCGGCCAAAATGCTAGACGCATTTCGAGCTCTAGAGTCGTCAAACGGGACTCAGAGCGACCGTGTGACCCCACCAATAGATTCCTCGTCCGGAGAGCAATCCGTAGGTGGAGTCACACGTCCGGTTCGAGTCGTGTTTAGCGACTCTGGAGCTCAAAACGCGTCCGGGATTTTTAGGCCGCCTCCGCCGGTCTTCTGGCCAAGTGCTGCGGCACGGCGCACTGTGCGAAAAAAACACAGTGAATCCCGTTAATTTTTTTTTTGCCGGGATATACTATAGTTCAGAACACAGGATTTACTGTACCTCGCTACAGTATTTACTATACCTGGTACAGGATATTCCGTACTCCACTCCTGTGGTACAGTAAATCCCGCACGAAGCACAGTAGATCATGTTTTAAAGTACAGTAAATCCTGAACTCTGAACTACAGTGACAGCTGCACTAATCACTACAGGATTTACTGTGATTCTTTCCCACAGTGTGACACTCACGTCGACGTGGATGGCGAGCAGCCCGTCCTCCTCGCTGCTGCGGATGACGATCCTGGCCGTGCCGTCGGCCTGCACCTGCACTGCCTTGCCCAGGCAGCGGCCGCCCTTCAGGTTCCCCGAGATGACGTCACAGTACGTGCCCGCGGGCAGGCAGGTCTGGCAGAGACAGAGACAAACCGCACTGTGATTCGAAGATGGTGACGTCACACGCTTAAGACCTTACGAAGTATTTTCAGCATACATAATACAAACTAATTTACTTTGTAGTTCGTAAATTGCGAATTATTTTCTTTGAAAGCTTATGTATGCTCAAAATACGTTGTTATAACAAACTGCTTTTCTTTGTGAGGCCTAAAAGGTTTTCTCTGTGCATTTTAGTTGGAACCCACGTTCGTTGTCACGTTCGTTAGTGTGACACCGCCCTCTAATTAGGTGTCACATTCGTTTGAACGTGGGGCCAACATTCAAAACGAATATGACGTCAAATGAACGCGATGAAATTCACATTCACGACGAGTACGAAGTCTTACACATTTGTTTGACCGACAGTTTGTTGGCAACAGCCATCTGGCGGCGTGCTCCGTCGCACTGACTTCAAGTTCGTTACGGTCTGCGCAGTTCCCTGCACAGCTCAGCAAACTCCTCTCTCTCTCTCTCTCTCTCTCTCTCTCTCTCTCTCTCTCTCTCTCTCTCTGCAGCGTCACGAGTACGCTCTCAGCAGCGTGTATTCATTTGATTGAGTACGCTCCCAGATGCCGGTGCAGTACCAGGAAATCCTATCAGGACTTATTTGGATCCTTATCTGGACTTATTTGGAAAGTCCTATCAGGACTTAATTGACTTTATTCCCAACAGAGTATACTTCTGCATAAATTGCTCATCGGAGTACACTTTCAAACAAGTGTATGAGCGCACTCCTGGGAGTGTACTCAAATGAGTGCACGTTTCTGTGAGCCTCACCTAAATACACGCCCAGGAGTGATCTCAAAAATGATGAGAGTCTACTCTTGATTGCACGTCAAAGAGAATGTACATCGAGAACACACTGTTGAGTTGGCTGCCTGGCAACTCCACTCTTAAAACCTTACGAAGCATTTTGAGCATATATACATAGTACAAACCAATATACTTCGTTCAACGAAGAAATAGTTCATGAATTACGAAGTATTTTCTTTGTCAGCTTGTGTTTTGCTCAAAATACTTTGTTATAACAAGCTGCTTTTCTTTGTAAGAACTAAAATAGTTCGTTAGGTGTTCAGAGTTCAGAAAGTCTTCGAAAGTCTTGAATTTCGTCCGAAGATTCTTCGTTTGCATACTTCTGGCCTTAATTCGGAAATCAGACCTCTAGGTCTTACAAAATTTGTCTGAATTTTAAGATTATTTTTTTTAACAGTGTACCTGCAGGGACTGGTCCAGGTCGTAGCCGTCGTTGTTGAAGGCCACGAAGCCCTTGGTGCCGCGGCAGAACGCGATCTGGTTGCTGCCGTTGTCCCACCAGTTGGTCAGCGGGGTCACTGTGAACACGAATCGAGGACTTCTTGAGAATCCCCCTTTCATTTTGATGGGAGGAATCGAATCTGAGCGGATGACCCTATTGTGCCACGCTTGAGTCCAAGTGTAAACAGATCACTTGAAAACAGAGGATAATGCTACGCGCATTTTCGGCCAGAATTGCAGCTATCGAATTCAGCCTAGAAAATAAAATTGATTCCCACAGCAATTTTTTTTAAATTTTTGGTGTGCACCCTAAATGTTTTACGCAGAAGTTTTCCATAATACGAAGGAAATGGCGCAAGCATAATACGAAGGTAGTTTTTCTTCGTATTACGAAGATTTTCCTTCGAATCTTACAATGAAATGGCTAAAAAGATTCGTATTACGAAGGAATATTGCTTCGTATTATGCTTACGCCGAATTAACTGTAACATACGAATAACATGGGTCAAATTTCATTGTAAGAAATTTAGAGTGTGGTCACTTACTTGCCACCACGTTGCCGAAGCCGACCATGTTGTAGATCTGCCTCCAGCGGTGTTCGCAGATCCAGCCCGCGCCGCACGAGTCGTCCGCGTTCACGGTGGGGCTGACGAGCTCCCCGTTGGACTTGGCCGGGGGCCCCTGGTCCTTGTCGTCGAACGCGAACGAAGACATGACGCGCTTCAGCGAGTGCGGGTGGGCCAGCATGAAGCCGACGGCCATCTGGAGGAGAGAGGCAGACAGATGCATCATGCTGTTGCCGTTTGCATATTCCGACGTACACTGTCAAAATTTTGGTTGTCACTTGATGACATTTTCAAGGCTAACTTTTTCCTTCCAAGAATACCATTAAATCAGTTCATGACTTAGTTGTCATGCCTGCACGGCGAAAACGGTACCTGGTTTTCCCAGGAGCCCTATGGCGAAGACATAGGCGATTTCCAGGGTGTTCCTGGGAAAACCAGGAACCGCTTTTACCGTGTATGCTATAGTTTATGACTTTGTTGTCATGCCAATGCTAGAGTTCATGACTTTGATGTCATGTCAATGCTAGAGTTTATGACTTTGTTGTCATGCCAATGCTATAGTTGTCTGGCCAAAGCTATAAGTATACAAGCATTGATGAAAATAGCGTCAATTCGTGATGACACTGTGATTTTCAGAAAGTGATGAAAATTACATGCACAACTTAGTCATTAAATGACGAAATTTTTTTTTTACAGTGAATGAGGAAGTGTTGCGGTGTACCTTGTACTTCTTGGAGTTCTTGTAGGTGAGGATGTTACTGCCCCCTGCGCCGTGGCCACGCTGGTTGTCGTGGTTGTCGACGAACACGACCGACTCCATGCCGTCGGGGAAGTTCCAGGCTGGGCCTGCACAGTGACGCGGTGTGAAAACCGAAAGACTGAGAGTCCCACGTCCCCGAACATAATTATCCCCCAGGTGTTCTTAGGCATCACAATTTTATTAATTTCAGGTGAGAGACTGGAACAACGGTTACAGTGCACTGCCGTTATGAACTCGTTATTCGCCTTAAACTCTCAAGTAGCAAACATGTATTTCACACTTACCCCAATTGACCAGCCAACGAAGTTGATCGTTTCCTCCGAAAACGCGTCCGATCTCAGCACTGTAGCGGAAATCCAGGACGCGCCCGCTGTCGAGGTATTCCTTGTACGAGACTGGCTCGTTACCTGGAAGATAACAACAATTAAATTTACTGGAATTTAGTTTTAATGTCAGCCAATTATTGATCGTAAGTGTATCTTAATTAAACAAAATCACGAGTCCATGGAGTTTAATGAACGACTCAGAACGCACGTACTTCACTCCCATCAAAGAGCTAGTGATGCTAAGGGTGAGTCACCGGTTTTCTTAAAATGTATATTTTTCCAAATAAATTACCAGATCATTTACCAGAAGTTGAGCAGGTAACTTGACCAGGTAATTTACCAGAGAATTTCTTTCTGTGCAGGTGTTCAGCCGGCTGCTTGACAATCGTTGCTTCTCTGATGGAACTGACTCAAAAACTGCCGAGTGCAATTTAAGGACCAAGGCCGAAGGAAGAACGAATTCACTGCTTCATGAACTCGGCACGCATAGTTTTAGACGAGACGAACTTAAATCCGAGCACACCTTACCCAAATCGATAACCTCTTGATAGACGAAGGCTCGTGAATTTGGCGCGAAGCCGTGAGCTTCATTCAAATTCCTGACGCGCCCGAAGATGGCCTTCAGGTCCTCAGGCCACATGTGCTTGGCAGCGTCGACACTGTGGGAAGAAGAAAGAGGGTTTGTCTCCGTTAACGGTTTGTAATAGTAGAGGGCGCTGAGATTCACGGCGAATATTCATCAAGAGTATCCCGTCCCTCTCCTCCAGAGTCTGCACTGTTAAAATTGATACGTAGTTGTAAGCTTCTTTGAGGCGGGCGTACAATCACGCTTGAAGACGTCTTAGACGCTTGTCGAATGCTCAAAGGAACGTGACATTTTGTCTCATACCAACGTGATTACTCACCGGAAGCCAGCCACCCCCATCGTCACGAGTCGGTCCAGCAGCTCCACTTGCCGGTCACGCACCTCCTGCTGCGACTGGTCCAAGTCTTTGAGACCAACCACCTCGCAGTTTCTGACCTGCCAACACAATTTTCACCTGCCATCAGAATACCAACGTCTGGTGATGAAGAGTCTACTTGTATGACCTGCAAGACTTTCCAAAGAATACTGTTTGCTCTACAAATCAAAGAGCGCACATTGTATGCTCTACCAAAAGCATGCCTGCAATCATGCTCTAGCTAGCGCATGCCTGCCGAGCATGCACTTACTAGTGCATGCCATGTACACGCTTCCTGATGCAGACAACTACCTTTCCCTTATGCACTAGATGCATGCTTCAGTAAGCGTGTACTTGGCATGTATGCACTAGTAAGTGCACTGGTAGAACTCAAGCGTACTTTTATGCCTCTTCAAGCGTAGTAGAACTACGCTCGGCTTCAAGCGTAGTTCTCCATTTCGCCTCTTTCCCGCCTATCTAAATGCAAGGGAGGATTTCTAATCTACGCTTGACGCCAAGCGTAAAGTCTTCAAGCGTAGTTGCATGCTTGAATAAAGCATACAACTACACAAAAAATCTACACACTTAAAAGTGTGTACTCACTGAGTACACACATAGAAGTGCATGCGTTTTCCCTATGCCGCGCATGCACCTCGCAAGTGTGTACTCACTGAGTACACACTTTAAAGTGCGTACTCATTCAAGTACACACTTCTAGGTGCGTGCTTAGGCAAGTACACACCTAGAAGTGCATGCTTGTAAGCACGCACCTAGAAGTGTGTACTGAGTACACACATAGATTTTGTGTGTACGCTTCAGTTTTACCAGTGTGCATGCTTGGCAGGCATGCGCTATAGCTTGAGCGTGCTAGCAGGCATGCTCCAGGTAGAGCCTACAATGTACGCTTGATTTGAAGAGTGCTTGTAGTGCATCTTCAGCATACAAAAGCTTTCGTAGATAATCATTTGTTTCTACAGAGCATTTTCGGCATACATTTATGTATGACTTTGAAAACATTTTGTATTATACTAACTGATTCTCCGTCTTAAAAAAATATGGTGCGATGGTAAGGTATGCACTGTATCGCGTCGCGACGGTTCTTCGTACCTGGTTGGGGTCCTGGTAATTGTCGAGCGAGCAGGTGGGGTGGAAGTGGCTCATGTGGTAGGGTACCGCAGGGTAGTCCTTGTTGTGGGTCTCGGCCGTGGCGCCGCCAGTGCCCACGGCGGAGTCGTGGTCGCCGGTCATGTGGTTCAGCACGATGTCCACGTACGTCCTGCGGGCATATGTATTACCTTGTTATCAATTTCTAAATTTTGGTAGTCACTTCACTATAAACGTCGACACTGCAAGAAAAAGTTTGAATAGTACAACGAAAGTATAACAAAAACTGTACCATAAAAGTACAACAGGGATTGTATAAAGTACAACGAGAATTGTACAAACCACAACGAGGCCTGGACTGCCCAGCGCTCGTCATGCCGGTTCCATTGTACTATGTACAACAACTGTTGAACTTTGAAAGTAAAATAAAGTCCTGATGAAAAATTTGCCAGTAATTTTTGTTCTTTTGTTGTGGGTTTTTCTTGCAGTGTCTTGCAAAGAAATCTCCAGTTATACGAAGGAAATTGTGCATAAGCATAATACTAACGTAGTCTTTTATTCGTATTACAGGGGATTCTCTGTGTATGTCTCTTGTAATGAAAATCCTGCAAATATTCGTATTTTGGAGAAATTTTGTTTCCTATTTTGCCTTCACCGAGCTCATTGTAACCTAGCTCTCTTGGTTTAAATCACACTGTAAGACTGATGAAAGAAGATGAGAACGTCATCTATTTGGGTTGAAACTGTCATCATTTTAAAGCGATAAATTCACTGTTTATCGAAAAGTGGCAACAAATGTTTACAGTGTAGAGTAGGGTTGTCAACTCCGTTAGCGACAGGACTATTTATTATTGGATGAAGTGACGAAGTGAAAAAGTCCAGCTCCCCTGATGTGGCGCCCTGATACGCTTCCATTTCTGAACGTCTTCTGAAGTGTCTGTTTACTCGGTGCAAGAGTTTAATGGCTCGGCCACTCGAACACGCTATCATCGAATGGACAAACACACCGAAGTGTTGCCACACTGATTGCAGCGCATCAAAACAAGGTGCCCTGCAGAGGTGCCGCGTGCACAATTAGGAGATGGCCAGAGAGGGGAAGTGCGTTTTTAATCTCACAAAAGTTTGATCCGGATGACTTCCTTATTCTCGGTGACCTTGTGCGAAAATTGATCAGATACATTTTGCATCACCGAGAATAAAGAGTTTTGATCAGTACCATATTTTGGGGCACATACTTCGTCACCTAAATTGAGGAAGATTCAGATTTATTTTGCACCCAAATTTGGGCAAAGAAAGGGTCTTTCTGCTGACAATGCTAGTGCCAGTGAGTGCGAGACAAACCGCAAACAGCGTAATATACTGAATGGACCCTAACCACGGGGGAAAGGTTCCACTGATACAAGGGTCATTAACACGAGAAAAACTTTGGGTGAGATATTCTTTATCGCCAAATTTGGATGAGAATTACTTGATCACCCATTGCACGAGGAAACCATCCTCACCCTAATTTGGATGAAAACCATCTGCCCCTGGCCCTAGAGGTAGTTGATACACCTTTTATCAGCAAAATTTGGGTGAAGAAGGTTTCCTCGCCCAAATTTGAGTGAGAGCATAATTCTCACCCAAATTTGGGTGATTAGGTGTTTTTTGTAAACCTCGCCCCAAGATTGGGTATTGATCAAAACTTTTTGATTCAGCAACGCACTTACCGCACACCGACGTTGTTGCACCGCCGCACCATCCGCCGGAACTCCTCCTCGGTGCCGGACCGCGTGTTGAGCCCGTACGAGATGGGCTGGTAGCGCTCGTACCACGGCCGCTGCCCGTTCTGGTACACTATCACGTTCTCCGTCACGGGCGACACCTGGAGAGCATCCGTGCGGCGTTATTCGTGTCGTCACTGTCGTTATGTGACGTCTCATTCGTGACAAAGTTAATTTTGTCACGTTCGTCTGAATAGGGTGTCACATCCGTTTGAAATGTTAATTTTGTCACGTTCGTTAGAGCGTGATGTGACATTCGTTTGAATGTTGATTCAGGTTCGAATGAATGTGACATTTTACTCAACGGCCGTGTCACGTTCAAGCAAAAGTGACATCATTGCAAAAACAAAAACGAGACAAAATTCACATTTCGACGAATGGCGTCACATTCGTCGACTAACGGTGAGAAGTGTTTGGGTAAACTTTGGTTTGCGCGAGGAAATCACAAGGTCACGCAGAAGATGTGACATCAATATGACGTCATAAAATGCCTGGTCCTTTGGGTCCTTCTTTGGGTCCAAACACTGTGCTGGTTGTCACTTGATATTTAATAATATCAAGGCAGATGTTCCTTACAAGAATGTCATCAAAACAACGGATGACGACCTTGTTGTCACGCCCATGCAATATGTGTAGGAGCTTTGATTAAAAAATGTCATCAATTTCTGATGAAATTATCATCATTTGTAAGTGATAAAAATACCATCTGCAAGTTTTTCATTAATTGAAACAGGAGGGTCGCAGTGGGCCAGAAGATCGGTAGAGGCCGTTAGAATCCCGGACGGGTTTAGAGCTATAGAGTTGCTAAATGGGACTCGAACCGAAGGTGTGACCCCACCAATCGATTGCTCTCCAGGCGAGGAATCCATTGGTGAGGTCACGCGCTCGGTTCCTGTCCTGTTTAGCATCTTGAAGCCCAAAACGCGTCCAGAGGAACTCTGGCCGCCGGCGCCGGTCTTCTGGCCCACTGTGAGTCCATTTAGCAGACTTTGATCACGAGTTCTAAACCGACCTGGACCGCGCCGTAGCCTTTGGGCGCCAAGAAGTTCTCGCACTCGTCGGCGATGTCGTTCCACTTCCACTCGAACAAGTGCACGATGGCGTTGCGGCCCGGCGCCATCTGCGGCTCGCGCTGCGCCAGCGACGCCGGCGCCAGCAGCAGCAGGACGAGCAGCGCGGTCGGAGGCATGACTGCGAATGACGGGTACACACGCCCACACCGCGCTGGGCTGCCATCCTTCTTGAGGACTGCCAAGGAGCGGCCTGTCTCTCTCTCTCTTTCTCTCTCTCTCTCTGTCTCTCCCACGCCGAACTGGGCACTGCCGGGCCGAGCACGGCACACTGTTATGTTTCCGGTTGTCACTTGACGAGTTTTCACGGATAACTTTTCTTAAAGAAACGTTTTAGCAATCGTAAGTTTTTTACAAGTTTTATTTTGCATTACTGTAGAATGGAACTTACAGTTTAATGTTTTTAACGATCTTATTTTATTTTTTAACAATCTTAATGCTTTTTACAATCTGAGTTTTACCACAGCCGTATTTTGTTTTCATTTCTAGTTATTCACAATTATAATTAGTTTACAATTTAAGCTTTTTACAGTAATCATAAAGTAGTTGCGGCAACATGTTGTCATAATGCGTAGGGGACATCGAATGTGATTGAGTAGAGGAGACATAGTTTTCAAGTGATGTAAATGTAAAATAAAAAAAGACTTTGACTTTGCTCTCTGAATTGAAGGCAGATTTCGACCGGGCAAAGGGACATTCGGCTTCGGTATTGAATCCTTACGGACACATGGGTGTAACGTTTCAAAGTAAACGAAGTACGAGCTGATTGTAAAGAGGTGAGGCTTGGGAAGAACACGTCAAGTTTAAGCTCTCACTTCTCTACCTTCTACCTTTCCAACTGCAGATAAAGCGGTGACCCTTGACCGTGGTTTTGCGAAACGGAAACACGTAACTACTTTAACATTCTTTAATCTCATTTGGTCGGGTGCTCACATTCTGAACCCGATTGCAGGGATTGGTAAAGAGGAAATGGCTACCATACAGTAATAAAACTTTGAACTGAGGTTAGGCATTCGTAAAACCTCCGATTAAACTCCTGGGTCATCTCGTGATTCATAGGTCATTCAGGGATATCACGAACAACAGGAATAAACGTGGGAGAAACAATGGAGTGCTTCTATTTTAATCGGAGACAAGTGAACATTTCAGTACGAAACAGAAGTGATTTTCTGTCTAGCGGTAGAACTCGAAAACAAATCAGGATTTCCAAGGAATGAGTGCACCCCGGATAATCTGAAGTCAAAATTCATTTCGGAAATCGGAGTGCTTAAAGGTAACTTTCCGATGCATGCGAGGAAACTAGAAGCACTGCATGGAGACGCTACGCTGTAAAGAGAGAGCACTTGACCTGCACCCTCGTGCAGATAGCGAACTTGTTGTGGCACTTCTGCTCATCCGTAGCAACCAAGGTCGAAGCATTATGCAGCAACACTTCTTTGTCAACTTATTTTAAAACAAGCATCACAGTAAAAATGAATATCTAGCGGATGGATATTTGGCAAGGACATCTTACAATGTCCTTTTCCTTAATCAACAAGTATAGGCTTCAATTTTTAAAATGTCGGCAGCTGCCAAAACGGTGTCAATATAACTTTTTTAACGGCCAATAAACTTTTGCTTCTCGAGTCCGGACCTACGTCGTTTCGTTCATCTCGTAGAAGTGAATGTGAACCTATGTCGGGAATGGGCGCACGCAACACTGTAAGCAGGGCCAGAAGTGAGAAGAACATCGGAACGCTGCAGTATTATTGTAGAATTTAGATTTCGCGGGTTTTCACATGTTTAAATTATAGTTGACCGTAGTGATACGCTTTTAAGATGGGCAATGAACATTCATCATCAATCAGCAAGTAAGAGATATTTGGCATCTGTTTCCGGCTTATTCCCTTCAGGGGCGTGTACGACTCTGATCCTCGTCACTGTGGGTTCTGCTAGAAGAGTATAGGTATTGAATTGTATGCACTGGAAATAAATTGCAGTGAATCTTGAACCGGATAATGAAAGCAAGGCAGGATTCACAACTGTTTGAAACTGTACGATTATCTGTTACGCTAAGACGTAGTTTGTTTGATATCTACCAACTTTCCAGTGTGGAGCGCATACTTAACTGTGTGCCACTATGGCCCGCAACTGCAGTAATACATGCGCAGTTAAAGTTTGTGAACACAGAATACCCTAAGACAGGCGAATGTTGATGCTGGTTTAGCCTAAAACGCTCAAAAGCTTTGGTAAATCGATTGAAAATGTATTTACTAAATATAAACTTATTTAATTGCTTCAGAAAATAGAACATAACATAGTTGGTGAGAATGTATCTTTCCCACGAAACGCATATGGCCACCGGAAGTAGGAAAGAACGCCGAAGTTGAATTTGATGCTCCGAGTAAATGAGCTTTGGAAGAAGTCGGAGACGGGATTTGCTTCTCTCGGAAGTTATACGGTCTGTGTACACGTCTCACGTAGAAATTCCCCATTATACGAAGACAATGGAGCAACCATATATAACATGCATGTCGGTAGTTTTTTTCATAACTCAATGGTTTCTATTTGCATTTTACGGAGAAAATACAGAAAAGAATCGCAATACGAAGGGATATTGCCTTGTGTTACGCTTCCGCCGAATTCAGTGCAACATACACACTAAGTTACTATAATTACTATAGTAATTTAGTGTGATGGCTCTGGTTTCAATTAAGACACTTTGAATGTACACGGTAAACACGGTACCTGGTTTCGCCAGGAAGCCTACGGTAAAGACACAGGCGATTTGCAGGGGTTCCTGCGGGAAAAGGAGGTACCGTTTTTACCCTGGAGCCGCTCAGACCTCCAAAACATTGCAGGGCGTTTATCATCCTTCATCCGTTGAATCGACGAGCAGCTAAACGAGAGGCCGTTTCGGATTTGCCGTTTTATGGGTAATTTAGGTCGTTTCACTAAAACACTTTGCTCTCTCGGTTCAGTTCTCATCGGGCTCCATTGTTGCCGCCGCTAGGGCCTCGGAGCAGGACGTCTCCAAGCTAGGACTGCTTGTTCGCCATTTAGGGAGGGGTTTGACCACCGGACCCGGAGAACCGCCTCAGCGTCTCGAGGGAAGGTGCCGCAGTGCTGCTGTTACAATGGACGAACCGGTAAGTCTTGCCTTCACTAACTCAAAAGGCCATCCCAATACTGTATTGATCGGATGTAAAAGAATGATAGATGGTTAATAGGGTACTTTCGTAGATCCCTGAGGGAAGCACACAGACGCCTTGGCGGAAGTAGTCAAACTGACACGAAAAGATTCTAAGATCACATGAAATACGTCGTTTGTCTTGTTTGCAGTGCATATGTGTTTCGCGAGCATATTTTCGCTCGGCTAAGTTTGGACGAAGAGGGAGTTTCCGGCCATGCGCAGAGGTCTGCTTCTTCCGGTTCAGATTTCAAGTAATATAGCATATCTTCTGGGCAAAGCCTATCGAATCGTAGTTTGGTAGAAGGCTCGCATAAACCTTTTTCCGTTCGTCTCATAAGGCTCATACCTTTTTCTGTAGCGCTCAAGCCTATCTTTGCACGTTTAAAGGCTCTACCGTTCGACGTCACTACGAGGTCGTCTTTCGGGTGCTTTTATGAGAATTAAGTTAAAGATTTATTAGTATCAACATGATGGTTTATTCGGTATGACGGTATGGCTCACTTCAACCATCGACAAGGAGACCAGCAGAACCCAAAGGAAGAGTTCGAAATAACCTCACTTCAAATCTGATAAGTTAGCCTAGGCGTTTACGAAAATTGTAAGCGCCTTCAGAGACGTCGAAAAGATAGATCCTGTTTAGGACGTCAAAAGATAGGCCTTTTAGAGACTACGAAAGATAGAGCCTTATTCGGGAGGCGTCGAAAGCTTGGTGAACGTCACGCGGGCGCTTTCGGGCTCATGATAGACGGCAGAAATTCGAAGTACGATTTCGTGAACGCCTGGTACATGGTCTACGATTTGCTGGCTCGGCTGCATGATAACAAGGCCTGCCTTCGTTTACGGTTTTGTTGTTCGTACTTTCGCGTCAGAGCATAAGTGGAATATTCCAAGAATAGGATGCTTTCGTGGATCCTGGACCGGAAGTCAATAGTCACCATGTTGGCGGAAGAAGTCTATTTCCGGACTTGGAAATGTAACGAGTACGAAGGTCACAATCCTTCCCTGGAACTTTTCTTCGTACAACAAGTCTGCAATGCATGAGTGTTCTCAGACATCAAATGTACCGCTTGGATGTACTTAAAGATCTCAAGACAGTTAAGGTTCTGCCCAATGGTGTCCTTTGACTTCCGTTCCGCGTTCCACGTCGGTACCCTTATTCGAACAGAGGTTAGTTGTTGAAGCGGGGACGTCCAGTTTGCATTGCGGAGGAGGGTGTTCTCCTGTGTAAAGGTGTATAGCGTTTACAGGGGAAATTTTCTGCTATGTTACGCCGTGGGAGGGGCCAGCGTAACGCCGCGTCATTTAGGGGGAGGGGTATAAGTTACCTACACTGCGTAACGTTATAAACGGATGGCCTCCAACGTGTTCTTGCGGGAGGTGGGGCCAGCCACCCGGAGCCGAACCACACGTTTTGTCCTCGGTTACGCCACCTCGTTATCAATTTTCTTCTAGAGAAGGCTTGACTTCTACATTGCACAGTGGGTTAAGTCCGGTAGAGGTGGTAAAAGTCCTACTGGGCTCTAGAGTCGCTAAGTGACTTGAACAAGCGTGTGACCCGTTCATTGGATTGCTCTCGGAACGAGGAATCCATTGGTGGGGTCAGACTCTCGGTTGGCGTCTCATTTAGCGACTCTGGAGGTACCGTTTTTACCGTGAATACAAAACGCGTTTGGGGAAACGCGTTTTGTACTCACGTCAAAAACGGTACCTGGTTTTCCCAGGAACTCCCTAGAAATCACCTATGTCTCTACCATAGGCTTCCTGGGAAAACCAGGTACCGCTTTTACCGTGATTTTTTGGCCGCCTCCACCGGTCTTCAGACCCTCTGTGCCTCGCCACGGGGTTTCCATCCCAGATCGTAGACGTCAAGGCGGTGTCCCTTGCCCGCAGCTGCTGCTGGCCCTGCCGGACGACGCGCTGCTGGCCGTGCTGGCGTTCCTGCCGCCGAGACAGCTTTTAGACTGCCGCGTGCTGTGCCGCCGCCTGCGCGACCTGTGCCTGCACGCGGACCTGTGGCGCCGCGTCAGCCTGACGCGGTGGAGGCGCCGCTGCCTGTGGCGCGCCGCGCTGCGCCTCGCGCCGTGCCTCCGCGAGCTCGACCTCTGCGACACGGACGACCTGGCGGACGCGGCCGCCGAGGTCGCCGCCACCGCCTGCGTCGTCGCCAAGCTCTCGCTGAACGTGGCGAGCGACAGGGACGTCGCCATGGCCGCGACCATCGTGGAGAAGATGTCCGCCCTCGGCGGGCTCACCGGGTTCAGCCTGTTCGTCAACGACTACTACTACGGGACCGTGTTCGATCTGGACCCGCTGCTGGCGGCGGTCAACAACGTGAGCCATTTGACGCATTTGGAAATCCAGAACGAGTTCGAGTCTGCCGCGCTGCTGTCTTCTTGCGCCGACTTGGAGGGCAGTCCTTCGGTGAAGAGGCTGAGCTACACCTCGTCGACGGAGGACACGTTGCTGGAGGCTTTGCTTGAGACCCACGCGTCCACCCTGGAGCACCTGCACCTGGACACGGAGCACGTCCCAGTGTCGGCGCTCAAAGAGCTGCCCAAGCTGCGCTCGCTGACCTGCGAGCTGCAGCCGACCGAGGACGTGTCCGGGCTGAAGGCCCTGCCCAGCCTCGCCTCGCTGGACTTCTCGTGGGAGGTGAGCGGGTCTCCCGGGGCGCTGGAACTGCTGGGCGAGGCGCCGCACCTCCGGAAGGTGTCGGTGCCTTGCTCCGGTCCGAAGCCCTCGGCCCCGCTGGTCGCCCTGGCCGCGTCGCCCTCGGCTCGCCAGCTGGAGTCCCTCCGCATCCTGACTCGCTCCAAGGACGTCTCCAAGCACGTGATCGCCGCCCTGCCGAAGTTCCCGTCCCTGCGGGACCTCGCGCTGATCGTGCACTCGCGCCGTTTGGAGGACTTCCTGCAGGCGGTGAGCCCCGCGACCGCGTCGAGCCTCTCCATGCTGGTGTTGTTCACGGCCGGCGAGGTGTGCCGACACGCCCTTCTGCACGGCGCCGCCGTCGAGGGCCTCCTGGGCAGGAACCCGCGACTCCACCTCCGCGTGCTCAACAGCGGCGGCTGCTCCGAGGAGGCGGACTGTGAGTGGTGCCGGCTGGGGTGCCACACGGACCTCAGGGCGGCGTACGCGGCGCACTGTAGGGGCGAGGACTGCCCCAAGGACTGCCACAGGTGGACGTGCTGATGTTGACTGGGTGCGGCTCTGTGAACTTCCCCTCGTCTTCAGTCCTCTCATGGGATTTATTCCAGTTCACATTTAACTCTTGGGAACATGTTTTCATGCAAAATCATGCAGACACACGCTCTCTACAAAATTACGCATCTTTGTATTCCAAATTTTCACTCAGACTCGTGGGATGTACGCAATGATGTATACTTTGCATTGTACAGAGCTTACCTAAGTACCTTTGCGTGTTCATTGATACGTTAGATAAGTCCACGAGAGTTCAGTGTGTGCTACGTTAACTTTTTCAATGTGTTTGTTTTGACGTCGTCATGTTTGTGGACGTGTATGTGTATATCTTTATTTTGATCATCATCATGTAAATCTCTCGCGAAATCTCTTCTTTTTTTAAAGAATTTTTGACTTGTTAAGGTGTTTTCTTCTTTTTTTTAAGAACTTGTGGCTAACTTAAAGCTGTCTCTGTTAATCTTTTGACCCGTGTGAGCTCCAATTACATTCATAGACTATGTAAATTTGTCATTTTTTTATTAACACCCTGTTGGTTAAATCGTTTTGCACAGTTCGTGACAACATCGGACCACAACACCTTCCCGTTCCCTCCCGATCAAAAAGTGCTATGGAGTACTATGCACCCTAAAAGACTTCCATGTTGTAATGGCGCAGCTGACTAAACTCTGTAAAGTCTGCGACCCAAATCCATCACAATACAGAGAAATGTGGTCGTTGAGGAGGTTCATGAGTGACGGGGGACCCAGCACTGTGGAAATTTCTTGTCACTTGATGAATCAACCGTGGACGATATCGTCGTCACTTGAAAATGATGGCAGTTTCATCGCAAATGTATGACATTTTTAAGTTCCTGTACTTATTGCAATGGGCGTGACGTCATCAGCAAGCACTGGTAAAACTAAAGCGTAGTATTACCCTCTGTTTTCAAGAGGCTCATCCGCCAAGATTCCCCCCATCTAAATGCATGGGGGAATTTTCTGGGTATGCTTCATTTCAAGCGTAACGTCTTCAAGCGAAACTTAATGCTTGACTCAAGCATAGAGTTACGCTTTAGTTCTAACAGTGAGTTAGATGACATTCTTGAAAAGAAAAAAGTGGCCTTGCTTTCAAGTGACGCTCAAATTTTTACTGTGGGGTTACTACGCCTTGTGAAAATTGTCATAGTAGGAAGGAAGCTTTGTTTACGTGTCACGAAGAGAAAGCTCAGTAGGATCTTGAGAGTGTGCGCATCGGCTGCCCACTGCGCCCAGAAGGTCGGCAGCCCAACGCAGTGGGCTGTTCGTTGGGACACCTGCCGGCAAGGCCACGCGGCGCCGACCTTCAAGCTAATCTATTATCAGTAGAGAGGCTTTGGGTTACTTTGCACGACGAGTGGACGACTTTGATTTCGGGACGATTCGCGTGAGAGGATGCTTAGAAAAAATTCTACGAAATATAGCTTCATAATTCAAAGAAAAATGAAGGCAATGTACGAAGAAATGCTTCGCTTTATGAAGCAAAGTACTGAACACGAGGCAATACGAAGCAATTCTAAAATATCTTCGCAGTTTCAAAGCATATAATTCGTAGATATATTTTTCTAGAGTAAGCTGGACTTGCAAAATCCGCGCGGAGCGTTCCCTACATTGTTTTCCGAGTTCTTTGAATCCGCTCGAAGAGGTTGAGAGACTTGCGAAAGTAGACAGATCTCGAAATTTCGGTTGGAAACATTGTATCTAAAATTGGCTTTGCACTTTCAAAACCTTGCGAAGAATGTGTTCACATTACAAACCATTTGGTTTGCAGCTTGCGAAGAGTTTGGCTTAATTGTATTACGAACTGATAGTTCGCAGTTTTGTGAACAATGTGTTTGCAAGGGTTCGCAATACAAACAGATTGTTCGCAAGTTGCGAATTACTGATTTGCAATACGGATGCGTTCTTTGAATTGCAAACAAGTCAGGTTCTTTCGCAAGCTCAAAAACACATCGGTTCGCAAGGTCTTGAGAGTGTAGCATTATGACAGCAGAGCGGAGGTTATTAAACCTATGTTCAAGTGTTCATGATAAGTTTCTTCATATTACAAACAAATTTCTCTGTATTATGATGTAGTACTGAGAATTAGCTCAGTATGACGATGGCACGGCATTTCTCGGTAGGAAATTGTGAGTGCAGATAAAAAGCATTACAGATTCACATCCTCACACATTCATCTTTAATACACAAACCATTCATGGTGGGGGAGAAGCAGATTCTAGGACAACGTGCATAGACAAATAAAAGAAGTTGCCATAGTACAACAGGGACACCATTCTAGAGCTTGGGCGATGGGGTGTCTAGAGATATTCCTGCAAGGGGTCCGTCGCTGTCATCTAGGACAATTTGAAAAGAAGCAGCAATTTTCATTCTTCGACCGTCATAGCCGTCAGACTACGGTTACGCATGGGGCCACTATCACATACACACTATTGAACCATGGTGTGGTTATTCAAGACACTTTGAAGTCAAGTCGCCTGACGCACGCGACAGTAGCACACCTGTCTCAAAGATAACGCAAACATCGTCGAGACGAGAGAGACATCTTCTATTATAGAGGACAGGATACGTCACCCGACGGTGGGTTGGCAAAACGAAGGCGACCACACTGTGATTAGGCAAACTTGACCCTTGCCCATCCGCACCACATACTTGCACTTGTTCGTGACTCAGTAGTCATGCTGTGGGATGTGTTGAGGATCGTACACTCTTCAGGTCCCTTACTGTCCTTAACTCTCACCAAGCCTCAAAACTGGACATTTTCAAGCGTGGTGATTCATTTAATGTCTCAGCAGCCAGGAGACGAGATTCTGTCCTTTGGTCGAAGCAAAACTCAACTGCCTCCTGTGGCGTTGTGGTTTACAAACGACAAAACCGTCTGTTTGGCCAGCTCGACCGGATTCTCAACACGCGTTGAATGAAACGTCACTCGATAGTCAATGTTCTGTAGCTTATCGATGGCACGATATAGTATGTCCACTGTGAAGATAAGGTTCAGCATGCCTTAAGTGCCTTCCTTCAGTAGTGACAGTGCGGGGACTCCGAACAGAAGGCTTGCTGGACAGAAGTCGGATTTCATTCAGATTGCAGACGGTATGTTTGTCGTATTGCAATACTAAATTACACATTGGTGAAACAATGGCATTAAAATTATGCCGTTCAAGGGCGTAAACGATTTAAGCCCCAGGAGCTGTGTGAATCGTTAATGCCTTTTGGAAGGGCATTAAAATTTTGCTGAAAAGTCATTCACGTCCTTCCCAAGGGCACAAGACGATTTACGCCCTTTCAGGGCGTAAAAGAGTATTTATGCCCTAAAGGGCGTAATTTTTATGCCTTTGTTTTACCAGTGCACCCAAATTGAGAGGGAAATTCTGATGGTGCAAAGCCTTTGCAGTGGGGCTGTCCAGCCCGATTTGCAACTAACAACGTTCAATTTCTCGTAACTTGAGAGCAAGTTTCTCTTCTAATCAGGGATTCGTGTTTTTTTTTTCGTTTCTGCTCCACAAGATATGGAGCACACAGCTTTTCCTTGTAAGATGTCTAAGGGAGCACCCTCTAAAAACTTACAATGGATAATGTTAAGGGAACTTTAACTCATACGTTTCGCTTTCGATCCTGTATCAGTACCGTAAGCCGGGGTAATATGAGACAATTTCAGGGTAATATGAGACGGAGTTTGGTTCGCGTAAGATTCACTCTGAACCTGCTATTCGGCCACAAAGAGAGCCACTGCTGTAAAAAAAAACGAATTACTCCAGATGGTACCATTTTTCGCCGTGAAGTTTGACAGGGATGAGTCATCAAATGCCACGAGCATTGTAATTCCAACGATAAAAATCATGCGTCTCATATTACTCCGAAATTGTCTCATATTACCTCGGCTTACGGTATGGCCAATTTGCTTTGTAAAATTATTAACGAAAATAAATTGTGAGTAACATTGCGTGAGAAATTAAAAGTGGCCTTTCAAGAAACAACAAAAAGAGGCATGAGGTTCGCACAAATCGCTTCGATAACCAATGAAGGGGAATGTCAGTAATGCGCTGCGAATGTGTGAAAATTCATATTGTAGGAACTGTGAGTCAGCAGGGGACAACTTTTGCACTAGAAGTCCAGAAAACAGTTTGGAGGTTTGCCGCACCCCTGTGGCAACACTGAGAAAACCTTACAAACTATTTTGGGCCTTACAAAGAAAATAAGTTTGTATAACAAAGTATTTTGAGCATATAAGCTTACAAAGAAAATACTTCGTAATTTACTAACTATTCCTCCGTATAACAAAAGTATATTAGTTTGTTATATGTATGCTCAAAATACTTCGTTAGGTTTTAAGAGTGCAGTTTACAAATTAAATTAAAATACAAACTGATGAATTTGTATAGATGCGGACTGCGCACGTCGTGCTGCCGCTGCTCCTGCTCCTCGGACAGAGCAGTGGCCAGAGCAGCGCGGCCCACGACGACGCCCTGCAGCAGCTCGCCGAGTCCATCGTGTTCCCGGACTCGCTCCGGCAGCACGTGCAGCAGGTCGGCACGCAGGTGGAGGGCGTGACGGACTGCCTCGCCGGGCTGGGCCGCTGGGCGGCAGGCCTGGCCACCCTGCAGCCGTGGGCCCTGCAGAGTGAGTACACTGTAAAAAATTCCGTACTTTTGTACGGAAACGGTAGAGAAAAATATAGTACGGATGTACGGAGAAAAGTACGGAACGTTCCGTACTTGCTCCATATGAACCCATGTAAATGGGTACGGAAAAAAAGTACGGGACGTTCCGAAGTTTGCAAGTACGGACGTTCCAGGCAAATTATTAACCAGACATGTTCCGTACTTTTCCGTACCTTTTTCTCACAGTGTAGTCTTTTTTTTATTAGGTGAATGTGACGTCATTTTCGTTGGAATGTGAACTGAAAACTCAAAGGTGAGAAATAAAGCCACTCCAAGGGTCAGAAAAAATTCTCACCGTTGTGGGGTGAGAATCAAAGCTCTCGCCTCTGTAGCGGTGAGAATCGAAATTCTCACCTCATTAGCGGTGAGAAGTATTAGAATTCTCGTTATGAAGGGCTGAGAAATTCTTAGCACGTTATATGGCTTGCAAGAGCAATTCATTCCAAAATTTGTTGAGAATTTTGATTCTCACCACAAGGCGGTGAAAAATATTTCTCGCCAAATTTTGGTCGCGACTCTCACCCTCTAGTTGTCAGTGTGGTATCATATTCGATAGAATGTGATTTCGTATTTGTTTAAATGTGACGTCATAGGGTAAAAAATCAATTGTGGGTCACTTCTGATAAATGCATATTCAGAATATAAATTTTGAAGAAGTACCCATAGTAGCTTAGTAGTTAGAAGGAACTGCGAGTCAGGTGGGGCAATTTTTTAAAAATAAAAATGAAGTAAAACTGTTCTGAAGATTGCCGTACCCCTGTCGCAAGCTCATAAATGAGGTATTTTGCGATAGTGAAGAAGATAAAGAAGAAGATGCGGCGGTGGGGGTAGAACATCACAAACCCTCATTTGTTTGGCGGCCATGATGCCCCCCACCCGCCCCCGCCTCGCCCCGCAAGCAGACGAACTGCCTAAACAAATGAGGGTTTGTTATGTTCTACCCCCACCGCCGCATCTTCTTCCTTCTCTTCTTCACTATCGCAAAATACCTCATTGATAAATGAAATAAAAATTCCCATTGTAACCTGAAAATGGCATGCGTGTTGCAGTGGTGGACTCGAGCGCCAAGCTGGTGACGGGCGTGCTGTACCTCAACACGTGGAGCATGGGCAACTTCGACGAGTGCGTGGCGGCTGGCGACGCGGAGCTGGGCTGGACCGGCCGGTACTTGCTGCCCACGGTGGAGGTGGCGGCGAACGGGTCGGCCAAGGTGCGTACCGCATACTTAAAACTTTGAAGCCCCTTGGTGAAAAGGAAACCGCCGGTGATATTTTCATAACTTGAAAATGATGACAGTTTCATCACAGAACTACGATATTTTCACCCATGCTCCTATACTTACTGCATTGGCGTGACAACAATGCTATCAGCAAGTTTGTTCTTACAAAAATCTGTAGTTCGGGAACTGCAGTCTTGGCACTACGGCTTAAACTGCAGTTTCACTCCAGAACCTTATACGCGAATGATGACATTCTTGGAAGGAACATAAGCCTTGACCTTTGTCATCAAGTGATCAAAATTTGTACTGAATGAATTCACCCGAACGGGAGTTCACAGTTCACACTCACTCAGCAGACTCAACATGTCTTAAAGAGTCAACTTGAGGGTTGACTTAAAGGTTAACAAGAATGTCAACAAACTTGCTGATGACATTCTTGTCACGCCCATGCAATAAGAATAGAAGCCTTGATGAAAATGTCATTTGATTTGTGATGAAACGGTCATCATTTTCAAGTGATGAAAGTTACGTCCACTGCTTTTTCCATCAAGTGACGACAAATTTTCACGGTTTAATGCTGCCACCGCGAATTTGTGAAGTGACTGTGCCTGTGCGTGGCAGGGCCTGGCGATCAAGATGGCCGTGTGCGTGCCCGGGTCGTGCCAGCCCGGCGTGCTGCGGGCGGCCCTGGCGCGCGCGGCGGACGCCGTCAACTCGAGGCTGGGCTGGGACGCGCTGCGCTGCAGCCTGGACGACAAGGCCATCGCCATGGCCGGCCCGGCCAGGAAGACCACCGCCGCCGACACCATCATGATGTGAGTCAGGAGAAGGCAACACTCTCATGTGTCCTTAGACCAGGAAGTTGTTGTAATGGCAGTGCTTGGAATGGAGGAGCTTTGGGGAAAACGTCATCAATTATTGATGAAATTGACTTTAGTTTGTTACGAAGTTGTCCTCAATTTGTGAAGAAATTGTCATCAATTTGTGATGACATCGTCGTGATCACATTGTCATCATTTGAGAGTGATGAAAATGTTATGCACTATTATGACACTATAACAACCAAGTTTTTCAGTGGGATTTCACCCCCAGTCCTTTGTACTTGCCTGCAAATTAAGACATTTCTGCTGACTGTTGCAGCTGCGCGTGTTTGGGGTTGGTGCTCTTGGTGCTCGTGGCGACCACGCTCGACTTCAGCATGAGCCCAGAAGGTAATTATAAAGAAGGGAAAGGACGAAGTCGAAGAAGGAAGCGTTATGCTTCGCTGAAAGTTGTGGTCATTAAATGTGCAGAGAACGGACCCTTTCACTAGATTTGTGGGAAACGACAATAATCAAAGGGCAGAAACCAGAAGTGTACCCGGAAGGAGTCATGAGTGCAATGGGCAGAAGGAAGGGGTGCTGTGAGGCACACACATCCTGACGGCGAAGTGATTTTTGTCATTGTCTTATTGTAGCCAAGATGGCGAGGAAAAACGCGTTTCTGCTGTTGGCGTTTTCGGCGAAGGAGAACGCTCGGCGCCTGATGACGCGTCCCTCGGCAGGGGACTTCACCTGCATCAACGGAATCCGCTTCCTGTCGGCCATGTGGGTCGTCCTCGGCCACCGCTACATCGCCCTCATCCAAGTGCCTTTCATGAACCTCCTGGACGGATCCAAGGTATGTGCAGTACACACTCTTAGTGTTGTACGGTGAAGATTCTCCATATTATGGTGAAAATGTTCCATACTACGGTGGTGCAGCTGACTTCGTAATTTCGCAACTTATCATTCAGAACTAATTTACTGTACCCTATAGATATTTTGACGAATTTCGTTGGTATTATAGAGAAAATCACCACCATAATATGTTGGTGCAGCCTCTCACAGTGCAAGACATTTACACGCATTTACAGTGCACTCTGAAAGCCTTTCAGAAGAAAATTAGCAACATTTCTTTGTAATACGAGGAATTTTGTGGCCACCTTTGATGGAGTGCCTTCGTGATATGAAGCTTTTTCTTTACCAAGAAAGGCCACAGAAAGATTCGTAATTAGCAAATAAAGTTCGTTATGTGTTTTCTCAAATCTCTCCGTAAGTAAGACTACTGTGAAATTCACTGTAAGAAATTTTGAGTGTAGTAACGTAAATTTGGTTAAGGACATATCTTCTTTACCAAAAATATACTTCCAAAACGAATGAGAAACAGTTTTCAAACGTTACGGGTGAACGGAAGTGACGTCACATTTCCTGCATTGCAAAAACGGTTCGGTCAACTTTTACCAGGGACTCTCTGGAAATCGCCCATGTTTTTACCAAAGACACCGAGAACTGTTCATGCTCGGAAGTTCTTCTTTTGAAAAGTTTGTACAAATTTACGACAGAGCTTTTTTCCTGTTGCAGCGGGCCAAAGAAATGTCCACCATGGTCATCATAAACGCCCCGCTGTCCGTCGACACGTTCTTCCTGGTCGGCGGCATGGTCAACGCCTACGGCTTCCTCAGGATGACAGAGCGGAGCAAATCGTTTGACTTCATAATGTACAACGTGCACCGATACGTCAGGTGAGAGAAGAGGGTGCCACTGCTAAGGATACACGGCAAAAATTGTTCCTGGTTTTTCCTACGAACTCCTAGAGAATCGCCTGTGGCTGTACTATAGGCTTCTTGTGAAAACCAGGAACCGATTCACCGTGTATACTGGTGGAACAAAGGCATTAAAATTATATGCCCTTTAAGGGCGTAAATGATTTACTTTCTTGGAGCGGCGGGAAGGGCATTAAAATTTTGCTTAAAATGCCTGCCATGCCCTGCCCAAGGGAATAAAACGATTTACGTCCTTAAAGGGCGTATAAGAGTATTTATGCCCTAAAGGGCGTAATTTTTATGCCTTTCTTTTACCAGTGTACTCTCTATCTAATGAGAGGAAGTAAATAATAAAAGCATAATGCAAACCTTTTTAAAAAAAATTATGAAGATCTTTCTTTGTATCTTTCAATAATAATCCATAAAGGATTCGTACGAAGCTTGGGCCAAATTCACTGTAACATAGTTCAAATTTCACTGCAAGACATTAAGAGTGTATGGACATCCCCTCCCTAACCGTGTCGCCGTTGTTCCCAGGTTGACTCCAGCCTTCGCCCTCATGATCGGCATCACGGCCACCTGGCTGAGCCTGCTGAGCACCGGCCCGGTCTGGAACCACGTCGTGGGGGTGGAGAGCGAGTACTGCCAGAAGTACTGGTGGTCCGCGCTCCTGTACGTCGCCAACTACGTCAACCCGGACACCCCGTGCATGGGGCAGGCCTGGTACCTCATGGTCGATATGCAGGTAAAGGTTCCCACACTCTTGCTGCCGTACAATGACATCCGAGCTATTTTGCGGATAATTCGGTGCAATCATGATACGAGGCACACCCTTAAAACCTTACGAAGTATTTTGCGCTTACATACGTACAAACTAATTTAATTTGTTCTACGAAGAAATAGTTCGTAAATTACTAAGTATTTTCTTTGTAAGCTTGTGCATGCTCAAAGTACTTTGTTATAACAAACTGCTTTGCTCTGTAAGCCCTGAAATAGTTTGTAAGGTTTTCTCAGTGCAGTATTCCTTCATTTTACGAATCTATTTTGTATTTTTATTGTGGGACCAGTGTGAAAATTTGAGTCGTCACTTGATGACAATTTCAAGGCTAATTTTCCTTACAACAATGTTATCAAAACAATTGATGACGCGCAATAACTCTACAAACTGAAGTGTGTACTCAGTATGCATCTACAGATGCATACTTTAAGTACACACCTACAGATGCATACTTAGCTGAGTACACATCTACAGATGCATACTCAGCTGAGTACACGTCTACAGGTGCATACTCAGCTGAGTACACACCTACAGATGCATACCTAACCTCTCCAAGTATGCATCTGCAGATGTGTACTCAGCTGAGTATGCATCTGTAGATGCATACTGAGTACACACTTCAGTTTGTAGAGAAGTATGGGACTTTGATGAATATGTCATCAATTTGTGATGAGATTGTCATCATAGTGATGAAAATGTCATCCGCGATTTTCTCATGGAGCGACAGAAAAAAAAATCACAGTGATACAGAGAAAAACCTTCGTAACACGAAGAAAAACTCTTCGCATTATGCTTGCGCCATTTCCTCAGTTTCATAAGAAATTTATTCCGAAGACATCCAAATTGAAGATCTTTCGAATTGGGAAATGTGCACCCGAGTGCATATCCGGCGTGCAAATATTACGTCACCTCTTTTAGGCCTCTTTTTGACCCCCTCCCCCCGTCCGTCGGCGGATTAACCTAACCCTCCCATGTATTTAAGATAGGACCGTCATCAGAGGCCCCCCGCCCCTTCCCCAAGTGATGACGTAATATTTCCACGCCGCCTAAAGACGCGTTGATTGACTTTCAGCTGCACTGGCTGTCCCCGCTGTTGCTGATCCCGCTGTGGAAGTGGGGCCGCTGGGGCGTGGTGTGGCTCTTCTTCGTCCTGTGCGCGTCCTGCGCCGTGCCCTTCGCCCTCACCTACATCTACCGCCTGCCGACGCCCTTCCCCACGGAGCTCAAGTAAGGAGGGTCCACTGCTAACATTCGGCACCCTCAACCAGGAGCTGATTTCCACTACCGGTTGGCCAGAAGACCGGTGGAGCTGGTCAAAATTCCTGACGTGTTTTGAACTCGAGAGTGGCCAAACAGAACCCGAACCGAGCGTGGGACCCCACCAATGGATTCCTCGTTCGGAGAGCTATCCATTGGTGGGGTCACACGTCCGGACGAGTCCCATTTAGCGATTCTGGAGCTCGAAACGCGTCTGGAATTTTGGCCGCCTCCACTGGTCTTCTGGCCCACTGTGCGTCGTACTGTAATCCGCTGTAATCCGTGGCCTGCATTAACGATGTTCTACTGCAGTCTTAAGGTGCAGCAGAGCTTCATGCGAAACATGTACCTCGCGACACACCCCAGGGCCACCGCGTACGTCTTCGGCACGTTGGGTGGTTACATCCTCTTCCTCATCAAGACGGGCCGCATCAAACCCAGACTGACGCCGGTGAGTACCGAGCAGGCGATGCCGAGGAGTTCCACACAGTTATTCAATGAATGTGACGTCACATTCGCTAGAACGTGAATTTTGACGCGATTGTTTGAAAATGACTTCACATTCGTTTGAACATTGATCCACGTTCAAACGGATGTGACAGCGTACCTACGGCCTTGTCTGAGCAGTCTGGGTATACATTGGCAACCTTCAGGGTTGTTTGGGCCACACTAGCCGCAGACACCGCTAAGGTTCCTCAAAATGCTGCATGGATGCGACTTGCACTCTTAAAAGCCTACGAAGCATTTGCTTCATAACTACGAAGAAAATGGAGGCTTTGTAGAATTGCTTCGTATTATGAAGAAATGCTTCGTATTACAAAGGATTTTGCTTCATAATACGAAGCATTTCTTCGTAGATTTTACAATGCCTTCATTTTCTTCGTATTACAAAGCGATTCTTCGTAGAGTTTTTACTGTGTGGGGTCAGTGATTGCCACGCATGTTGCAGACGCTCGCCGGGTTCGGCTGGGTGTTCAGCACCGTGTTGTGCGTGGTCGTCATCTTCTCGGCACACCCCTTGATGGACACGAAGCACCACCCCTACAACGTGTGGGAGGCGGCCTCGTACGCGGGGCTGTACCGCCTGGGCTGGTCCCTGGGCATCGCGTGGGTGGTCTTCGCCTGCATTCTGGACTACGGAGGTAAGCGGTTGGCAGTCTGCACACCACCTCAATGTCTATGGAAAGTCAACATTTGGAAACAGCTCGTGCATTATCGAATCTGATGACAAATTGTGACCACACTGAAAACTTGAGTGCGCACTGTGTACACTTTGAAAGTGTTGTAAGTTTTCAGTGCAGCAGTGACAAATTTTTCACTAGCCGGTTACAATACTTCTAGCAGGGCCTGAAGCGAAGAACAAGAAGAACAGAAGACGGAAACAGATGCCAAATAACGCTTATTTATGGATGATGAGTGTTTATTCCCAATCCAAAAATTCAAAACAGCTTAGTTTTATAATTGAATTTGATTTAAACCTGCCAAAACCCCCGAAAAGGGCCGATTGTACTTGCTCCAGTCTATGTTCTTCTTGTTCTTCACTTCAGTCCCTGCTAGAAGTGCACGGTAAAACGGTTCCTGGTTTTCTCAGGAACTCCGTGGAAATCGCCTTTCTCCAGCAAGACGGTATTTCGGAGGAGACTAAGATGCTGCCGCTAACAACGCTTTCATCTTATAGGACCGATTAATGTGTTCCTGTCCTGGCGGCTCTTCACCGTGCTGGGCCGTTTGACGTACGGGATCTACCTGACGCACATGGCCGTGCAGCTGGTGGACCACGGCACCATGCGGAGCCCCTTGGTCTTCTCGGACTTCTCCATGGTAAGGGTCACCTAAAGTTGGGCCACAACTGCTGAAATTTAAGCATTCAACATCAGTACATTCTAAAAGTTGTATTGTGAAGATTTTACATATTCTGGTCCAAATTGTTTATACTATGGCGGAGCAGCTGACTTTATAACATACCTGTGAAAATTCACAGTACCTCATGGATATTTTGACGCATTTCGTTCGTGTTATGGACAAAATCTTTACCACAATATTTAGGTGCAGCCTTTCACCGTAAGACATTTAGAGAATAAAAGAAAACATTGTTTCTAAACGCCAGGCTTTGCATTCGAAATGTCTTACGTCAAAAGGCTGCACCAACATGTAGATGGTGGAGATTTTCTCCATATATCTTCAAGGTACAATGAACTTTCAAAGGTAAACACCACCGTAATACAGAAAGTTTTCACCACAATATGGACACGGTATAAACGGTAGCCTATGGGAGAAACATAGTTGATTCTAAGGGAGTTCCTGGATAAACCAGGAACCGTTTTTACAGTGGAGAATCTTTACTGCACAACTTTTACAGAGTACGGGGTGCCGCAAATATAATGCAGTGAAAAATCTCTTTAGATCTTATTTACTACGTTTGGCCTATCTTTCTGCTTTCAGGTTGAAGGGATGTTTTCGGACGCCCTCTTTGCCATATTTTTCGGCTTCTGCTTGTGTTTGGCCGTGGAGTCGCCCATATCAGCCCTAGAAAAACACTTCAGAACGACGAAGAAAGGTATGTCCGTCGGGGTGAACTTTTGGTTGTTGTGCTCACCTTACAATGGACTCTGTATCCATAAACACCGGTAAAACTGATGAAGACTTTACGCTTGACGTCAAGCGCAGAGAAGAAATTCTCCCATGCATTTAGATAGGCGGGAGAGGGGCAAAATGGAGAACTATGCTTGAAGCCGAGCGTAGTTCTACTACGCTTGAATTCTACCAGTGAAGAACAAACGTTACAGAGAGGATTGCTGGGTGTTATGTCGGGTTGGAACCAAGGTTGCGCTTGTGTTTATTTCTTCAATTTTTTTTTCAGGAGTGGCCAGTTTATCGGTCTCCAAAGAGCCCCTGCCAGTCGAGCAAGACGTCAAAGACCCCATCCCAGACGAAGATGAGACATTAGCACGTGCCGCTTCAAGCAGGGCTGACGCGGAGTCTGGTCCAAGTGTTTCGGCCAATGGTTGATTTAACAGACCCAATGTCCAGTCCAGATGAGCCTTGGGATTCGTTTCGCTACATCTTATAAGGGACCTCACACTGTAAGTTTCTATCCTTGCGTCTCTTTCGCGTAAGAATAGTCAACTTCTGTAGAGATTGGAAAATGACATTCAAGGCCTAATTTGTCGCAAAATTAGCTGTGATACAATTTTGATGTTTCTATCTGGTGGCACGCACTTTACGATGTAAATCGGAACAAGGCGTGTTCAAGAAATGCACTGAGAAGGACAGAGTGATGATCACTCTTCCACTGTCAGAGTGTACTGAGTACATTAATAATATTTTCTGTGTTTCCACCATACATGAGCCATAACCAATGATATTTGAAACGACTGTTATATATAATGAGTCTGTAGAGTAAGAGCATACGTGCTACACGCTCAGACTGTTATTGGCTTTTTGTCCTTTGTTAAAGAGTTTTTTACACAGCAATAAAAGGTACTATTTCCTCAATATTTCTGTAAGATTTTGTTCGCTGCATTGACTTAAATTCAATTTGCTATTGACAAAGAGTCACTGATTGATGACAATTTAGCCTTTCTAGTGAACAATATTGTACATGATTTCAAAGGAAATGCTACATATTATTGCTGCTTTAAAACAACGTAAGCAAAAGACAAAAGGTCAATGATGGAGAGAAAACAGTCAATCCGAGTCTGAGAGTGTAGTTATTATGCAAATGAACGTAACCAACTGTGCTTGCAATTTATAATAACTGTGAAAGTGAGACCAGATGTTTCAACTGCATGCACCAGCTTTGAGGTTTACAGGAGTTTGCTTTATATTAGATCTGAATAAATCTTAGTAACAGTAAAATTAGATGCATTCAACTCAAAAACATCAAGACGTTTTGACATACATTCGTTTATTGCTTGTTCACGTTTTAACTCCACGTCTCCCGATTTCACCAGCCTCTGATTGGCTTATCAGATTTAGTTTCTGATACGTTAATCAGTTCCTGATACGCATAAAACTGAAAGCAAGGGTGAAGCAAACATGCATTTCGTTCTTTTCATTAAAGATCCGCACTTCCGGTAGGTGGACATAGCCTTCACTGCCGTCGAAAATGCCGGACCCCGCGGTTTTTTGCATGTCCACCGTCGCGTTCCTCAACTTGTAAAGACAGGATTGAAAAGTACGCTCGAAATTTACACATATTTACAGTGACGTGAACAAGAAGTCCTAGTCAGCGTATTGCGAGAGTCATTCCAAAGGAAGACTCAAAAGTCACTCGCCTTCTACAGACAAATGTGCGTATCTTACAAATCAAGGGCTTGAAGCGGCAGCAGACTAACTCCGAGAGTGGTTTTCGTCTGTCCGTCTCTCTCGCACTCATGGGGCGTCCCGCATAGGTGCGTGAGAGACAGAGCGGCGGACACAACTCTCGAAAAACTTACAGTTTGGAGAGGGCAGCGAATCGGTGGTTGCATGGGAGCCAAAAACGTGGCCCACGGCATGGAAGGGGACGGGATGAGTTGACACAGTCCCACGGAGAACTTGTGCGTGGCCACGTACTCGCATGTGTTAAACGACACGGCGTCCGCGCACTTTGTCATGACCAGCTCCATCTCAAAGAAAGAAGGCACACTACAAACTTACACAGTACACGCAAATGAGTGGTCATCTGACATAACAATGTGTTCACAGGGAATCCCATTAAACATGAATCCCATGAAACAAATTACAAGACTGTGACCATTGGTATGGGGGTTGTAAAGTTCATTGCTGCAAGTGATTTATCCAATCAATTCTTTATTTATTTATTTTTTTATAAATCAATGCAACATGATACGGAGATTTCCATAAATGGTGGGAAGAATCAGTGGATTTTTTTCAGTGGTGTGAAATAAATACTAGTTTGTTTTCAACACACTTGCGCCCAAGAACGTCAAGTGATGACGCGATACAAAGTACTAAACCAGCACAAAAACGTGCCGACGTATGACATCACACACTAACACACACACACTTACTATAGCGGACAAGCAAAGGAAAGCCAACGACTTCAGAAGGAAAGAATGTGGTTATCACGAAGGCGGATGCCGTAAAGACTCCACCGCCAGGTGACGTTTAAGGTGTGATTGTACTTGATCCACTCGGCTAAATTCTTTGTTGCAAACAGTGCATTGCATAGGGGGCTCCCCATTATGAGCCTTCAGGTGTCTTCGGAGGCCACTAGCAGCAGTGAACCTGTTATTGCAAACGATGCATTCGAAAGCCTTCTCCCTAGGATGGATTGCAGCATGACCTCGCAGACCGCGTCGTTCGCTAAAGGCTTTGTTGCAAATGGTGCACTTGAAAGGCCTGTCCGCTGAGTGAATGCTCAGATGGCTTTTCAAACTACTTTTTGCAGTGCATCTTTTGTTGCAAACTGTACACTCAAATGGTTTCTCACCTGTGTGCGTTTTAACATGTTTCCTCAAATTGTTTTTAACGCTAAACCTCATTTTGCACATAGTGCACTCGAAAGGCCTTTCTCCGGTGTGCGTAGATATGATGCATGTTATCAAATCGACAAACACTTGTTTATGTAATGACGATTCCGCAAATTGCATGATTTGGGAAGAAATAAATAAAAGAAGTTCCTTTCATATTTTGTTTATTTCTGGCAGGAATTTCAGAAAACGTACTCGTGAGTACATGTGCAACCATCATACACAGTGCACACGTAGACTGCAGTTTGGGGTCCAATTGAAACAGTAGTTTTGCGCATCTATTATGAAGATTTTATTTTAGTTTGGGTAGCGCATTTATTATCCATATTCATTCAAGTGGCCAACCTAAGGAACGGCACACCGTTAAAAACGGAACAGTCTCACATAACATGAGCATGAATCTTACATCATAACATTTAAGTCTGTTATTTTAAAACAGCACAGCTCCCATTTAAGAATAAAGTCTATGAAACAAAACAGTCTTCAAAGGGTAACACTATGTATATACAATGAGAAATTATTCTCTTTGAGGCAAAGACTTTCAGTTAAGTCATACACTGTCAGTCCACGAAGGTAAACTGTTTCGACTCGCACGGCAGCAATTTTAATTTTTGACACCTCAGGCGAAAGGAAATGAGACAAAACGCCAAAAGGTTGAGCGAAGATAAATAGTGGTCTGCTTACCTACAATTTTTCTTATAATGAATGTTCTCTAGAAAAAAATCAAAACGGTTTCCATTCGACAACCAGGCCCAAGTTCGGGCCCGAGATAAAAGTCAGGAAGGGTCAGGGAAAAATGATATCCTGTGACCTTGTGCCTGGGGCGCGCGTTTGCGTGAGATGAAAAATAGCGAGCTGACGGGCTTGAAACGTGAAACGCCCAGCACCGCCGGCTAGGGTCTAGGCGAGCAACTCTTGGCAAAGCCCAGGAGTTGTCTTAAGTTCATGTTCAAATATGGACTCTAAACCGAAGTCGTCGGGCTAATGGGTCAGCGCGCCAAGTTTGGACCATGTGGGCGTCACACACTGGGGTCCGCGTTGGTGTAGGTTGCGCTAAGTAATTTAAAACCCGTCAAAAATTTCGATTCATTGGATGGGGTCTACTGCGCAGTAAAGACTGAAAGCGTTTCATCCTGACACTCCACTATTGGAAATTTTCTATTTTGAGTCCGGAAAGTGGGAACAGTCACATCAAAATCGCTTAAAAAACACTCATTTGTATAAGTACTTGCAAGAACAAAAAGAAAGGAACAACTCTTCTGGCAGTGCCGGTACCTGCGTACCAGTTCAGACAACAAAGCCATCGGAAAATTCCAAAGTCTTTGGTTTCAAGTTGAAGTCAAATTGTTTTGACAGTGCATTTCACTCAAAATAAAGACGGAAGTTTAGACTGATGGTCCTGGAACTTCGCAAACGAATCTGGGAATTACGTTCCCAAGAAATTCTCCAAAATATTCCATTTTTTTCTTCCTTTTTTTAAATAATTTTAATGAAAACAGTGTCGTAGCCTAATCTCGTAATAATCAACGCACGAATCACACAGCACCTGCTGCTTTGGAGACTTGAAGCGCCCATGCGCAAACAGTCGTCCAGTCCAGCCACGATCCCGCATTCCAGGCATTCGATCCGAGTCAATTGCTATCACAATCACCATTCCGCGCAAAGGCGAATTCAGGGGAAGGGCTAAGAGGTTTTCGTTACCCCATGACACCCAGGTAGACACCAGAAAGCTAGTCAAAAAGCCATACTTTGTCCTTGTAAGAAGGCAAAAATCCATACTTTGCCCCTGTGAGTAAAAAGCCGTACGTTGTCCTTGTAAGTGGGCAAAAGGCCATACTTTGCCTCTGTAAGCAGGCAGAAAGTGCCAGTTTGCACTCATTCAGGCAGCCTCTGGATCCACTGCTGGTCCCGCCGCGCAGCCAGCCCGCCCTACACGGCGATGGAGTAGTCGGAGGGGTGCAGGCCCGGGGTGCTGGGCCGCACCGGGGTGCCCCTGGGCGTGGCGGCGCGTGGCGTCCGCGACCACAGGCTGGAGCGCAGCCCCAGCTTGAGCTTCTTCATCGTGTCCATGTCGCACTCGGCCTCGCTGAGTTCGGCGCCGACGCACTGCTGGGCCGCGCAGCGCTCGCCGGCCGCGCGGCGCCTCGCCGTGGACGTGGAGGCCGTGCCGCTGGCCATGCCCGCCAGCAGCGCGCACGACGGCTGCAGCAGGTTCTCCGCCTCGCCCGGCAGCGGCATCAGCGTGCGCACCCCGCCAGGCACGGGGGGCAGCGGGGCGTGCGGGGGGTGGCCCTTCAGCGGCGGCAGCCACTTGCTGTCAACACAGGCCGAGCGTCACGGCACTGCACAACCTCTCACAACACGTGCTTGCGGAATTTCAGAAACACAAAAGATATTTCCACTTTAGAAATTTTGAGAAAATTGAAATTTTGTCTTACTTGTGAAATTTTAAGAACATTGACATTATTTCCACATGAAAAATTTTAAGAGTAAGGACTTTTCCCCCTTTGTAAAATTTTAAGAAGATTTTTTCCACATGTAAAATTTTAAGAATATGGACTTCTCCCCCTTTGAAAAATTTTAAGAACATTGACATTTTTTCCGGAAAAATCTGAAAAACAATTCCATTGACAGTATTTTTTTACACTTAGAGAAACAGAATAGACCTGTAGTTCTCATGGCCATAGTGCCTCGTCCAATGAAGAGTCAACTAACTAGAATCTAGTAAAGAGAAAAAGTTTCGGCTTTGGAAGAGAGTGAAATCAAATAAAATAGACCCAGCGACCTTCTCCGATGTTTCTGATTTTTAAAGGGCTAATTGTCCTTCAAGAATAGACTAAAAAGCCGACATATTTAGATCTGGTTGAAATAATGGGTCGAGAAATGGCCAATTTAAGTCAAACTATTGAAGAAAAAGAACTAATTCGAGGATTTTGATTTGTTGTTTTCGCATTGCGAAAAACGTCAGAAGCATCGGGAAGGTTCCTGAAATAAGCTGTCGATCTTTTTTGATTTCGCTCAGAGGGAGGCGCCAGCCATGCGATCGAGCGACAGAACGCGAAGAGCAGGCTGCAGAGCGGAGAGGGGCGAGGAGATTGTTTGCTCGAGTACTCTGGAACGAACTGGATAAGGCATGGCTAAAAGTCAAGTGTATGGCCAGAGGACTTGCGAAAATAATTAGTCAATAGGTACATTTTCTAACAACTTTTCACAAATTACTGGTGTAACTACTCAAGGATGCCTAACGCACCTTCCAGTGCCTTTTTTCAACTTATGGTAGTTATCAATTTCCTCAGCCTTCGTAGCCCTGACAGGAAGTGGTCCGCCTTTACTTTGTCCGAAAGAATTCGACCAATCGCGTGCCTCGCATCCCAGTCCATTCCATGAGTACTCAAGCCCCTTGGCGGGGCTAACACCCTCGCCGCAGCACTTCGAAAGTACTGCCAACCCAAGACCACAATGGTCCATGAGCCCTCCAAGAACTTCACGCCAATCTAGTCCCCGCGTAGCAAGCAAGACAGGCAGCACTAGCGGAGCCGTGCAGCTAGACCAGGCAGAATAGATTCAATTGTTTTCAAACTTTTTTTTTTATTTTTCACTAAACGGACCAATCTCCTCGTCTGTACGGTGGATTGCCTAACCTGACTCGGACCGAGTGCCCAACGTGTAGCTGGACAGCGGCTCAGGCATCCATGTGGCTGGCCAGGCGCGTAAGCCTGTTACCAGATCAGGAACATCCATAGCCCGGTGGTTAAATTTAGAAAAAAACGGCCACGCATGACGGAATGTTTCGTTTGCTAGCCGTGAATTTAAAACAATGTTTCAGCCTGGCTGTCGCTGCGAAGAGGTTAAGCCTGCAGATGCTTGGGGTTCATCCGCATAATTACGTAACTTCTTCTGTCTCTCTCGCACTCACTGGCAGTGCATTACGAGCAACAAAGACAGAGCTTTTGGAAAACGTTACGTAACAAGTGGACGACCCCTTGGCGACATGCCGGTGGCATTCGAGCTGCAGCTAATGAGCTGGGGTCAATGAACGGTAGGATCCATTTCTGACAATTTTCTGCGTTAATTGCTTTTTGTTAATTTTTTTTTCTCAAACACTGTATACTTGGCCATTTAGCGAACGCATCGCTCGTAAATACATCATCAGTGACCCCAGCATCCAGGACCAAAGCTGTGAATAGGCTGGGCTTCGAAGGGCTTCTTCACTTGTGGTTGCGTTCCTTGACAATGGAAATGCAACACAGGTCACGTCTCTCTTGCATAAAATGTTTACTTATTTAAAAAGCCAACACCTCCTTCCACTCAAGGCACTACAAAATTTTAAATTTCTGATTTGAAATACTTGGAGGTAAAGGAACCACCAATCCATTGGGTAATGCTCACCAAGGAGCTGCGACTATCTAGTTAATATTGGCACGAACATGTGTTCATATACGCATGAAAATTTTCAAAATGTTTATGAGTGTAAAATTTTGAAAAATCATTGTGAATTTGAATGTTACGGATTAATTTGAACTGATATAGTACGGATGGAATTTAATTTGACAAACAAATGTTTTTGGTCCGCATTACAAAAGAGTTGGTGTTCGCATTACGGATAGTTTCTTTGTAACTTACAGTCAATGATACTTTTCTGTTACGAACAAAACGCAAAACTAAATTCCATCAGCATCAAATGCATAACTTACAAACCACCCATCCACAACGACTTTAAAGTGAGGGTATAAGTACCGCGCTTAAAACCTTACAAAGTATTTTGAGCAAATAAAAGGGAGAAACTTTTCTTAAAGAATTTGTTTGTAAAGTACGAATATTTTTTTTTTGTAAGCTTGTGCATGCTCAAAGCACTGTGTAATAACACGCTGCTTTAGTTTGTGAGTCCCAAAACAGTTTGCAAGGTTTAGAGAGTGCGCTCCCTGTGGCCGACTGTGTAAAGAAGCCCCCGTTGGCCCGGCCCTCGCTCCGGCAGCCGCCACGGCTTTGGCCACGGCCTCGTGTCTCTAGGCTTGCCTGCGCGGGAACCTCGTCGGCCGGCCGGTGCCGCCCCCGGTGCCGCCCCCGCCTCGTCGCCCTCGCCTCGGGCGCCGCCACCTCACCTGTGCCGGCCGCGGCGGGGAAGGGACTTCTGCTCCGACATGGGCGAGATATCGGACGACGTGCTGGACGGGGCCCCATGGTATATGAAATCTGGAAATTGGATAAAAATTAAGACATGAGAAACGCTGTAAAATTCATATCAGCAAAGGTGACAAAACCTCAAAACTAGTAGTTAGCTCTATTTCCGAGGAAATCTACAATCTCTTCAACAGATGCACAGAATGATAACACACTGGGCTACATTTGCTGTGTGGGGGCAGTACCAAAACGAGGGAAACTTTGAATTTTGAGACAGTCTTGCAGGGGTTAAAAACATAAAGCAGATTCAGGTCACTGTACAGCAATACGTGTTTTCAATTATACACTGCATAATCGGTTCCAGATTTTTCCAGGTAGCTTGTAGTATGGACATAGGCGGTTTCCAGGAAGTTTCTGGAGAAGGCAGGAAGTTCCTTAAGAAAAGTGATACAGAAAGTTCCTGGAATTACCAGGAAGTTCCTAAAAATAGGAACCAGGGCCCGGTTTTGAACAGTACAAACAGTTCCTGGTTGTCCCAGTATCTTAGGGTAAAGACACAGGCGATTTTCAGGGAGTTCCTGGGAAAACCAGGATCTGTTTTTACCGTGTGTCGTCCACTGAGCAGTTTTGATACTAGAGTGATGAGGGCATGCACACTTACTGTACTGGCTGTGCTTGAGTCCCCGGGCCCCCATCCCCACCCCGCCGTGCGCCCCGTGCCCGCCGTGCCCGCCCTGCGGCCCGCACGTCGGCCCCGTGTCCAGCTGGTTGGAGCTCTCCGTGCGACTCGACGTGAGCGGGTCGCCGTCCGAGTCCGACTCGTCGGAGTCTTGCCCGCACGTGTGCGACTTGTGGCTGCTGCGTCGACTGCGCTGCCCGCGACCCTTGGGGCCCTGCGGACGAGAACGGCACACATGAGTAACGTCTGATACAGTGGTAAAACTAAAGCGTAGCTCTATGCTTGAGTAAAGCATACAGTTACGCTTGAAGACGTTACGCTTGGAATGAAGCATACGCAGGAAATTCCCCCATGCATTTAGATAGGGGGAATCTTGGCGGTTGAGCCTGTTACGCTTGATTTCAAGCGTAACCTGATTACTTACGCTTGAAAACAGAGTAAAACTACCCTTTAGTTTAACCTGTCTAGGTATCGAAAGTAATATCACACCAAGTCTTTTAGCTTTCTGTCTCTCACTCCAAGGGGAAATCGCTGTGAATTTCAGTGTACGATTTCAATGAATTTCAGACAAAAACTGCTGAATTATAAGAGGAATTCCAATAAATTTTAATAAATTTCGATAAATTTCAAAGAAATTTAGTGAATTTTACGCTGTAGGAGTTTTGGTGTACTAATTTGGCTGATGTTACTCCCCCTGTCTTACTCACTACTAACTCTCTCTCTCTCTCTCTCTCTCTCTCTCTCTCTCTCTCTCTCTCTCTCTCTCTCACCAGTGGCGGTGGCGAGGCTGCCTCCGTCATGGCCTGCTCGTGGTACATGAAGCTGTGCAGCAGCGTGTTCTGCGGCGCCGCGTCCGACAGCTGGAACGTCGCGTACGGAGAGATGTCCTCCGAAGTCTCTGTTGGGCCAAAGAAGAAGCGAGGATGTAGTCATTGGGCGATACAGGTGGAACCTTCAACTCACCAAATGTCAAGTCAAATTCGGCAAGCAGGGCAGCAGGTTGTTACCCACCGAGAAAACCTTACAAACTATTTTGGTCCTTGCAAAGGAAAGTAGTTTGTTATAACAAAGTATTTCGAGATACATATGCTTACAAAGAAAATACTTAGTAATTTACGAACTATTTCTTCGCATAACAAAGTAAATTAGTTTGCTGTATGTGTGTTCAAAATACTTCGTGAGGTTTTTAGGAGTGGCCGAAAGCATTCTCTCTCGTCTGTGTCTCTCGCACTCTCGGGGCGTCCCGTAAGGGGTGTGAGAGAGACAGCACGCCGACGCACTGCACACTAAATGTTTCATGTACTTAATTGTCCGTACACACTAAATGTCTTGGGACTTTTTTTGTCCCACGGTTTATGCAATTTTAAGCACATCCGACGCTGATACAATTTTGTTCCCGTCTGGTGACACATTTTGTCCGGCGCCAGCTGCAACTTGTACTTTCACTAGACAGTTTGTCCCGCCTGGCGGACACAAAATTACATCACCACCGGATGTGCTTAAAATTGCGTAAACCGTGGGACAAAAAAAGTCCCATTACATTTAGTGTGTAGCTATGGCCGTTTTTATGCATACAGAACTTATGTACAAATTTGTACATAATTTAGGAACAATATTTCCATATTGTGCTTAAGTATGTAAAACATTGAACCTAATTTATGTACAAATTTGTACATAACTTCAGTATGCACGAATACGGCCATGGTTATGGACATAAAGTCCATAAACATTTAATGTGCGGAGTCCACTGAAATTCAAAGGGTGAGACATCTGACCGATTTTCGGTGATACAAAAAGTATGACCGAAAAACGGTCATACTTCGATGTATGACCGAAAAACGGTCATACACAAATGTATGATCGAAAAAACGGTCATACTTACATGTATGACCAAAAAAAGGTCAGACATCAGCGAGGGGATATATCAGCCTTTACCCGTGATACACTATAAAGTATGACCGTTTTTCGGTCATACATCGAAGTATGACCCTTTTTCGGTCGTGCATTTCAGTAAGACCGTTTAAGCGGTCAAAAGTATGACCGTTCTATTTTCAGTGTCACCACTCACATGCCACTGCAGAGCAAAGCGTACCTGGGATTTTGTCCCCCGCTTGCAGCGCCACCTTGCGGAGCGTGGCGTAGTACCGCTCTCGCTGCGCCACCGCGTCGGCCGTCTTCGTGTCCAGGGTCTCCTTCACGGGCCGGGCTTGCTCTGAGAAACCAACCACATAGCTTTAGAGCGTTCAGAACATACTATAGTTCGACTATTTATTTGTAACAAGCGGATTCCGAACAGAGCTTTGGCGTTGGAACCAATGTGACGTCATGTTCGTTGAGATTAGAATGAGTCACTGTCACATTCTTCTGATTGTTGGTCCACGTTCCATCGTATCGAGGGGTTCCTATATTCAAAAGATCTTATCTGGGCGCTCCCATTTAAAGAATCTCATCTGCAACGCAAGCGAATTTCACTAAGTTAAGAGGGTAAGCGGAACACATTTCTTCACGCACTATTAGTTTCCTTGATCTTTCATCTTCAAGTTTGTGTGACACATTCTTTGAATGGGAGCGCCCCGATAGGATCTTTAGAATAGGACCTTTCGAGTTTGTCACATGGTTCAATGAATGTGCCATCGCATTCGGAAAATCATGACTAAATTCACATTCTAACGACCGTTGGGACACGATTCGTTTAATGAGGAGGACATACTAGGGCCAATTTTCAGTGGTCGAAGTTGACCATTGACGACACTGAAAACCAAGTGTGTACTCAGTGCACACTCGACTGCTCTGTGTGTACTCAGTACGCAATTGAATGATCTATGAGTGTACTACTCAATACACAATAAAATGCTAAGGCCAAGTGTACTCAGTTCACACGTAAGTTTTCAATATTTCGCTCGCTGTATGTTTCCAGCTTTATGTTTGGCATTGGAATGCTCCAGCCCAGAGGGGCGTGGTAGGGCACGCACTTGTCCTCCAGCACAGCGCCACCGCCACGCAGACCGCCGCCACGGCCACGGCCGCGCCCGCCACCGGCAGCACCACGCGCATGTCCATGTAGAAGGGCTGCAGGATGCCGCCACGCTGCACCAGCTCGGGGGGCGGCGCCTCTGCAGGACAGACAGACATCCGTGAGTTGAAGACTGCACTGTTAAAAAAGCCGTACATTTTAAGGAAAAAGGTACGGCTAGACCGTACCTCACCGCGTACAGAACAACTGGACCCAAAATCCGTGCTTCCCTCAAGAGCCTATGTTATGAAAAACCGTACTCAGTACCCCAAAAGCCGTACTGGCTGAGGTACGGTGGTACCAGGCAAATTGTCCACCAGACTGTGCCTGTACCTTTTCCCTTGGATTTTTCCTACAGTGTACCCGCTTGAGAATAAAAGAAAGCGCACTCTGAAAACCTTACGAAATTTCAGGCCTTACACAGGAAAAGACGCTTGTTAAAACAAAGTATTTCGAACAAACATAAGCTTACAAAGAAAAAATTTCGTAAACAACGTTCTATTTCTTCATGTAACAAACTAAATAGTCTGTACCGGGCATATGCTCAAAAAAAATCGGAAGGTTCTCAGCGTGAGACCTTCCCGTCAAACGTGACTTCGTGCCTCCCAGTCGGCTCGTACCTCCGTCCTTGGTGAGGGTGAAGAACGTGTACTCCTCCGTGGCCGAGCCCGCGATGTTGTGCGCCTCCACCTGAAGCTGGTAGCCGCTCGCCGGGGACAGACCGTTGATGTTGAAACGCCGCTGCGGCTTGAGCGAGTTGGAGACTGCAAAACCCAAGGCACAGTTGACATTATTTTGATCTTACCAACTCATGTATTTATCTCTTCCATCAATCGTTCTCTCAAATTGATCGCTCTACCAAATGATCCTTCTATAGATTGATCGCACTCTCGATTGTTCGTCATCTGAACAAATTACGTAATCTCAACACTGGTAAAAACCAAGGCATAAAAATTAGGCCCTTTGGAGCATTAACACTCTTCTACGCCCTTTAAAGCCGTAATCGTTATGTGCCCTTGCGAAGGGCGTGAAAGCAAAATTTTTATACCAGGGTATTATCGATTCACGCCGCTCCAGGGGCATAAATCGTTTACGCCCTTAAAGGGCATAATCTTAATGCCTTTGTTACACCAGTGTAGAGAAATCGTTTAAGAACTTAATTGTTTTCTCGGTTATTAATCTTTTAATTAATTGTTCTCACCATTAATCGTTCACTCAATGACTCGTTCTTTCGGCAAATCGTTCTCTCCATTTATAATTCCCTTGATTGATTGTTTTATCAATTAACGAGTACAAACCCGCAAATTCACACTAATCGCGATTATTCAGACCACCGAACGATGACGATTAACATCAATCACTGACACTGAGAACCCGAACGATATCAATATAGCGTCAATTGGTGCAATGCAAAGGCATTGCACATGAAGGCATTGCACATGAAGTGCAATGCCTTCCCATTCCCATGCATTGGCATAGGGCACTTTCACGTAGCATTGCACGTATGGTGCGATATCTCAGTGCATTGCACCATACGTGCTGTACACTGGTAAAACTTAAGCGTAGTATAACCCTCTGATTTTAAGCATAATCAGATTACGCTTGAAATCAAGCGAAACAGGCTCATCCGTCGATATTCCCCCTATCTGATTGCATGGGGGAATTTCCAGAGTATGCTTCATTTCAAGCGTAAAGTCTTCAAGTGTAACTTTACGCTTGACTCAAGCATAGAGTTACGCTTTAGTTTTACCAGTGTACTCATAGCGTTTGGTATTTCAGAGAATTGGGGCCTCACCCAGGGTCCACTGCTGCGCCTGAGGCCCGGCCACGGGTTTGTAGCGCACCACGAAGTAGAGCAGCGGGCAGCCGTTGTCGGGCCAGGCGGCGAGGCGGAGCTGCACGCTGCCGGGGCCGGGACTCAGCAGCGCGGCCGCCGACGGCTTGCCCGGCGCCTGGCCCTGCGTGCGCACCGACAGCGTCGACGACCCCGGCGACGCGCCCACCGCGTTCAGCGCCACCAGCTGCAGGTGGTACGTCGTGCCGCACTGCAGGCCCTGCCGGAAGAAAGCGACCACACTGTTAGCAAAATGAGTCGTTACAGCCTACACTGTTATCCCTGGGTGTTCTGTGACTTAAAGCCGTAAGGCGTTGCCTCGGAAACCTAAACGCCTTACGGCAGTTAGTAACCCAACGCCTGAGGCGTTTCGTTATTCAATACCTTAGGCGTTTATTTATTCAACGCCCAAGGCATTGGTTTATTCAACGCCCAAGGCATTTATTTATTCAACGCCCAAGGCGTTTAAGTCATTCAACGCCCGGGGCGTTTTAGTCATTCAACGCCTAAGGCGTTTACGTCATTCGACGCCTAAGGCATTTACGTCATTCAACGCCTAAGGCGTTTAGTCATTCAACGCCTAGGGCGTTGAGTTACAAAACACCTTTGCTTGGCCCGAAACCGCCACAACAGCGGAGTACCAGTGCAATAAAAGCTGCCCTTAGCTGATATACGCCTTGAAAGGCGTTTAACTGCCAGACACCTTCGAGGCGTGCAGAAGCTGAACAGCTTGACTGTCCTTGAATACAGCGATTCTTGAGGTCAAATGTGTAGGTCGTACACTGGTAAAACTAAAGCGTAACTCTATGCTTGAGTCAAGCGTAAAGTTACACTTGAAGACGTTACGCTTGAAATGAAGCATACTCTGGAAATTCCCCCATGCAATCAGATAGGGGGAATATCGACGGATGAGCCTGTTTCGCTTGATTTCAAGCGTAATCTGATTATGCTTGAAATCAGAGGGTTATACTACGCTTAAGTTTTACCAGTGTATAAGATCCTTGATCTGAGACTCGCCTTGAGCTCGTGCGAGGTGGCGCGCCGCGGCAGGTCAACGCGGCTGGGGTCGCCGTGCTGGCGCCGGAAGTGCAGGGTGAGTCCGGACAGCGGCGCGCCGCCCAGGTCGGCCACCTTCCAGTGCAGCAGGATGCTGCTGCTCGTCGACGTGCCGATGAAGAGCTGCGGCGCGCCCGGCGGCACTGCAAGCCAAACCTCTGTGAGTTTCGGTGTACACAACACCATTCAACAATTCAACTGAAATTCATCGAAATTTTTCAGGAATTCATCGAATTTTGACTGAAATTCACTGGATTTGCAGGGTAAAAACGGTTCCTGGTTGTCCCAGGAAGCCTATGGTAAAGACAGGCGGTTTTCGGGGACTTCCTGGGAAAACCAGGAACCGTTTTTACCCTGCAAATCCAGTGAATTTCATTCGAAATTCGATGAATTCCTGAATAATTTCGATGAATTTCAGTTGAATTTCGCTGAATTTCAGCCGAATTTTAATGGATTTCAGTGAATTTTACGCGTTTGACGAGTTTTGGTGTACAAATTTGGCTGGAGTTATTCCCCTTGCTGCAAGCACACTCAGTGTAGCGACTACAGCGTATTCAGCGCGTCGGTTATCGACTATAGAAAGCGCAGTACATTGGAGGACACTCAGTGCAGAGAATAGGGTGAACGGTATGCTTTATTCAAGCACGCGCTGGGAATGAAAGAGTCAAAAAGTTTGGCTGAGACATATTCGTCCCTGAGATTTGGGTGATGATTATTGCGTCGCCCGAATTCCGCTGCTATGTTCCTCCCCCAAATTGGGCGATAAAGTTTACTTCGCTAAGGATATGGTCTTGGGAGAGTCTTTGTCATTGGCGTTGAAACAACGAGGCTTCATGACTTGCAAGTAACGAACTGCCTCGCGTTCTTCCAGTGTACCTTGCACGGCCAGGGTGTACGTGACGGAGTCGGCGCCGTGGGCGTTCTCGGCGGTGCACGTGTAGTTGCCGGCGTGCTCCTTGGCCAGCCCGGTCAGCATCAGCTCCCCCGAGTCCAGCACCTGGCCGCGGTGCTGCTTGGGGCGCCACGACAGGCGCGGCTGCGGTTGCCCCACGGCGCGGCACGCCAGCGCCACCGAGCTGCGCCACGGCCGCGCCACCAGCCCGCCGATGGAGGCAACCCTAGCGGCCACTGCGGAGGGGGTTAGTGTAGCACATACCATTGGCAACTAGGGGAAAGTATACTCATACCAAGAAATACCACGCTAAATGTTAAGGTACAATCTTGAACGAGGTGTTACATGATATTAAACCTGTGTACCGTTTAGCATAAAATTCTGCTCAAATTTGAATAAATTTTTTCATGTAAAAATGATCTAGAAGATTTCGAGCCACAAAATGCCTCAATATTTATGCCTTTGAGTTAAAACCAAGAAACCTTCTGAGAGAGGGAATTAAGTCTATTCCTACATGCTTTTGGGTAACACTGATATTCGAACGAAAATTGTATACTCAGCACACACCAAGTGCTCACTGGTAGCCAACGAATGTGACGTCATATTCGTTCGAATGTGAATTTTGACACGGTCGTTTGAATATGATGTCACATTCGTTTGAATGTTGATCCACGTTCAAACGAATGTGACACTATACTTAAACGGCCGAGACACGTCAAAACGAATGTGACATCATATTCCAACGAACGTGACAAAATCCACACTCCAACGAATATGACGTCACATTTGTTGGCTACCAGTGCTGTGTGTGTAGGTGTGTGTGTGTAGGCGTGTGTGTGTGTGTGTGTGTGTGTAGGCGTGTGTGTGTGTGGTGGTGTGTGTAGGCGTGTGTGGGGCTGTGTGTGTGTGGTGTGTGCTGTGTAGGTGTAGGTGTGTGTGTGTGTGTGTGTGTGGGTGTGTGTGTGTGTGTGTGTGAGCGTGTGTGTGTGAGTATAGGTGTGCCCCCAGTGCACGAAGAGTTGCCAGGGTTCTCACCTCTGGGCGTGGGCACCTGCGACACCTCGTGCGAGCTCTGGCCCTCGCCGATGCGCGTGGAGGCCGTCACCCAGAACTGGTACTTGACGTGCTGCTGCAGCCCCTTCACCTCGAGGCTCGTCTGCGCCGCGCCCACCTGCTGCTTGTCGTGCTTGAGCTCCTCGCGGCCCGTGCCGTCCACCAGGCGGTTGTACACGTTGTAGCGCGTCAGCACGCCGTTGGGGTCGGCGGGCGGCAGCCACGTCAGCAGCAGGGACTGCGGCCCGCTCACCACCACCTTGATGTCCGCCGGCGGGCCCGGAGCTGCAGGCAAACGGATGTCAGTCCATTGCTACTCGCTATATGCTTACAACACGATACATTGAATGTTCCACGATATATCGTACTTCGTATATCGTACTCTCGAACTGAGGACACGAAAGATACCTAGGAATAGGTTTTAAAATAAAGTCTGCAAGCGAAAAGCCGCGGCAGTTCAAACAAGGGTACGCGTAACACCATGATTTAACTCTTAAATTCACCCGCGGGAGCGAGTTCTGTGAATGATATTGCGACAAAATGTTTCGGATATCTTAAGGAACAAACTGGTAACAGTAATCTGGTGGAAAACGCTGACAATACTAAAATATCGCTAGTTTCAAGCGTCTGGCAGGCGTCTTCTGCTGGCCCTCAGCGAGCAGGATTTGCCATACTTCGTGCCGCCATATTTCGCATATTGGAAGTGCTCTACTGACCACTGCACGATTTATCGTATCAACCACGATATATCATTTTGACCACTGCACGATGTATCGTATCGACCACGATATATTGTATCGACCACGATATATTGTATCGACCACGATATCGTATCCTCACTGACATATCGTATCGACCACGGTATATTGAATCGACCTCGATATATCGAATCGACCTTGATAATTGCAATATCGCAGTGTCCCGCAGCGACTACCCCGCGCCTTCGTGCAATCGCGTGCCACCTCAGTGCGCGGGGTATCGCCTTACGCACCGTCCTCGTCCGTGGAGCAGAAGGCGGGCCTTGACGCCACGCCGTCGCCCTTCCTGGTGAAGGCGCGCACCGTCACGCTGTAGTTGGTGGCCTTCCGGAGGTCCAGCAGCACCGTCAGCAGGGACGTCGTCTTGGCCGAGTCGGCGGCGTCTGCAACCGAAGAGGGCCTTGCAGTCAACTTTGCTGGGTGTGGATAGATGGCTTCTTCATACGATAATCAATTAGGAACTGCCTTTAGGTAACAACGATCGCGACAAAAGCAGAAGAGGATAAATCCTCAATTCCCAGGCCCACCATAAAAAAGCGGGTGCGTTTCCCAGTGATGACATGGGGATCCCAGGTACCGCTTTTGAAATGACTGCTATGCTCATTATCCAGCTAGATAATGAGCATAGCAGCCATTTCAAAAGCAGAGAAGGGAACGAAAGGTTGCTGGTTCTCCCAGAGGCCCCCTGGAAATCATCCTGACAATCAAAGTGTGTATACTGAAAACACTTGGTACACTCAAATGCGCACCGAGTACAGTGTGCCCATGTCTTTACTAAGAACCAGCTGGGAAAAACCAGGAAAGATTTATAACGTGTGGATACCCTTGATTTTGGCCAAGGTTATGACACAGGCTACGCCATTCGTCAAAGATGATCCGCACAGCGAGACAGCGAGGTACACTGTTCCGGCCTCGCCCGGTTCCCTCCGCTTCGTCAATACCTGGGTGCCGCTGGTCGGGGTTCACAGACTCGTAGTGGAGGTGGTAGCCCTGCAGCACACCGTTGATGTGGCCACTGGGCGGCGGCTGCCACGACACTTGCAGGGACTGCGAGGACAGTGGGATGCAGCGGACGTCCTCCGGGGGCATGCTGGGCACTGCAGAACACCACAGAGAAAAATTAACACAATTTAAAAAATACCTGTTTTTGGGAGTGCACAGACCCCAAACAACAAAGCGGTTCCTGGGTTTCCTGTAAATGACCTATATCTTCACTACACTGAAAAACCAAACTGGTGTGGTCAAATGGGTGCAATTTTTTGAAAAATTAAATTTGTAATTCGTACTACTGTATGCTCTAGCCATTTCCTACGTAGCAAGGGAAACTTCTTCGAAAGGCATGCACAGTGTGGTTGCGACACTTGCCGTCCTCCAGGGTGAGCGCGCTGACAGGGTCGCTCATGGGCCCGGCGCCCACCACGTTGACGGCCTGCACCACGATGGAGTAGCGCGTGAACTTGAGCAGCCCAGTCAGCGTCAGCTCGCCGTCGTCCTCGCCGTCCCCGACCAGGGCCGGCACGCTCGTCATGTTGTACGAGCTCTGGCCACTGCGGACAGGAAACACGCAAACGGTATACGATTAGAGTAGCACATACTGATTGACTTCGTCGGAATTACAACCTAGGGCGTACACTGCAAGGAACAACGTGATCAGTACAACAAAAATCTCATTCAACGAACGTTAATGAAAGCAGATGATACTCGTTTGGTTTTCTTCTGCGGGGTGGTATGGGCTCATTCCAAAGATAGTACTTAAAATCTCATTCGACGAACGTCTGAACGAGGCCGAGCTGGCGCCGAAGTCGGCACGAGCTGAGCAGAGCCGAGGTCTGCCCGAGTCACCCTTTGAGACGTGGCAGGCGGAGAGGGATTGTCAATGTTGCGCGCGGGCCGTCGCGCGCGAGGAGGGGGTAGGGGGTGCCATTGTCCGCGCAGGCTGCGCCTCACCGCCAGCCAGCCAGCCAGACACACCAGCCCGCCCCGGCGGCCAGCCCCTATTATATTGTTAGGATATGCGCTTGGTTTCTGGACTTGAGAGTAAAAGCATGCTGACACCTTCATTTGTGTATAGTAGTTTTAAGTATGTTCCAAGTGTGAAGGTATCATCTGCTAAAAAACCGACCAAAGAAAACACAAGTACACGTAATTTTCTCGCCGAACTCAACGGTCTTCGCATGGAATGGAAACTCGGCTAGCGATACTCCACGCCCACTGAAGGCAGGGGGTACGAACAGTGTGGTGCGTTGGGCGCCGCTAAGCCGCGCCGTCTCTACCCCCTGCGCGGCGCTGGCGAGGAGTATCGCCAGGCGTGCGATTGGGGTGAGCGGTTCGTCGCTTTGACTCTAAAATCTTGACAGCAGGCCCCGAGAATGAGACACACTCTCTGGATCCGCCACTGTTAGAAGAGTGCGTGGCGTACCCGTCGTCGCGGAAGCCCACGTTGTAGGCCGTCACGTCGCCGTGGCGCAGCTCCGGCGCGGGGGCGGTCCAGGTGACGAGCACGGCGGTGGAGGACACGGCGCGCGCCGTGACGCCGAGCGGGGCGCCGGCGGGCTGCTGGGGCTCGGTGCGCACGGCCAGCTCCTGGGAGGGCTCCGAGCGGCCGGCCGCGCCCTCGGCCACCACGCGGAGCGTGTAGCGCGTCGCGGGGCGCAGGTCCGCGACGAGCGCCGCGTGCTGGCCGCGCGCCTCCACGCGCTGCCACGGCCCCGGCGTCGCCCCCGGCGCGGCGGCCTGCTGCTGGCGGTACTCCACCACGAAGCGCATCGCGTCCGCGTCCTGACCGCCGGGGTGCTGCCACTGCAGGTTGATGGTGGTGCTTGTCACCAGCGCCGTCTGCAGGCCCACCGGCCGGGGCGGTGGCTCTGCAGAAGAAGGCAAAGAGAATCCATGCATCAGTTGGTCGTGTACACTGAAAAAGTTTCGTCTCTTATGGTGACAGCGAATGACATTTCCGGTAAACTCAAGCACAGTGGTGGGCTAGAAGACCACTGGAGGCGGTCAAAATCCCGGACGGGTTTACAGCTCCAGAGTCACTAAGTGGGACTCAACCCGAACGTGTGACCCCACCAATAGATTGCTCTCCGAACGAGGAATCCATTGGTGGGGTCACACGTTCAGTTCGAGTCCCGTTAAGCGTCTCAGGAGCTCAAAACACGTCTTGGACGCCTCCACCGGTCGTCTGGCCCACTAGGAGGGATCTTGACGCTGCAATGCGCACCTTGCACCAGCAGCTGCACCAGCTGCTTGTCCGTGCCGAAGGTGTTCTTGGCCTGGCAGTGGTACGGCCCCGTGTCCGCCGACTCGGACGACGCCAGCTGAAGCTCCGCGGTCACGCCCTCGCGCCGCGGATCCACCTTCACAGTCACCCTGCACAGACAAAGCAGCTCCACTGTAGCAATTTACTTTTATTTAGTTTTCAACAGGTTTTCATATTTTATCTTTAAGGTGTTTTGTTTTCTTTTTTCAGTATTTAGATTTTTTTTATTGTTCCTACAAGGTCTCTACTGTACCATTTTCTGAGGGTTTTAAATTCCTTCAGCTTTGAAAAAGTTTTATTTTCTCAGAAATACGTGCGTATTCGAAGTCCTTATCACGTAAAATTATTTTGGTTCGTCCCCTAGGCCAAAGAACAATTTAGAATGATTGGTCAATGTGACTTATTGGCAAGTAGATCGGAATTTTGTTTCGTTGCAGGCCTCCTTTAACTCGATTTGAGGCCCTTTAGACAATTTATTGCTACCGCTTGTAGTGTTAGACGCCTGCGAAGGGAAGGGTAGGCACCCCGTTTTGCTGCCGTGTTCAACGGGCTGGCCTACCCTCGATTCCGCAGGCGTCCACCGCACTGTCTATCTACTTATTGCTATACAAATTTTACTGCGATGTTTCGGGACAACGCCCACAAAATACTTGCAATAAGCTTCCTTCTTCCAAGATTTTGCTAAAAAAGTCAGATGAAAAGCTCCATTGTATCGCAAAAATTGTGGGGTGCTTTTTGAAAAATATTGCAACAGCTCAATTATAGCAAACCGAGGTGCGGTTCATCGTGGGCATGGCTAGTTCAGATTTATCGTAAAAAATTTTGAGGTGAAAGCACTTCAAAATGAATGACAGCGCAGCAAATAGTCGAGCGCCTGCAAGAGGTAGGGCAGGCCCCACGCACCACACCCATGTTCGGCGGGCTGGCCCACCCTTGACTTCACAGGCGCTCCTGTTGACTGATTCCGAGAGTCGTTTTCGTCGCTCTCTCTCTCTCTCTCACTCCTGCACGGGACGCCCCATGGGACATGAGAGAGACTGAGCAACGAAAACGTCTCTCTGAATCAGTGTACCGGCTCCCTCGACGGCGGAGCCCTGTAGACTGATTCCGTGAGTCCTTCTCGTCGCTCTGTCTCTCTCGCACTCGTGGGTCGTCCCGTATGGGCGCGAGAGAGACAGAGCGACGAAAACGGCTCTCGGACTCCGACGTGCCTGTAGTTGGTGGCGGAGGTGAGCTCCATGCCGGCGCGCAGCCACACCACGCTGATGGGGCGGTCGCCGCTGACGTCGCACTGCAGCACCGCCGTCTCGCCCTGCTTCACCGTCACCATGCGCGACGGCACCGAGAAGAAGGGGCGCGCTGCAACCACAAAGGCATGCATGATCGAAAGGAGACGAATGAGTCAACGACAGAAATCTTCTCTCAAAAAAGCCAACGAAGCACTTTTTACGGTGTACTGCAACTACACAAAAAAACGACGACGATAAAAGATGATTGCACTGCACAGTGGGCCGGGAGACCGGCGCAATCTGTCAAAACTCCAGATGAGTTTCGAGATGCAGAGTCGCTAAATGGGACTCGAACCACACGTGTGACCCCACCAATGGATTCCTCGTTCAGAGAGCAATCCATTGGTGGGGTCACACGTTCGGTTCGAGTCCCATTTAGCGACTCTGCAGCTCAAAACACGTCCGGTATCTTGACCGCCTCCACCGGCCCTCTGGCCCACTAGTGCACTGTTAACACTGAACTCACAGTTGACCCTGAGCTGCACCACTTTCCCCAGCGGGCTGCCGATCGAGTTGTTGGCCTGGCACAGGTAGAAGCCCTCGGCCTCCTCCGTCACGCTCTGCAGCACCAGCGTGCCGTTGGACAGCACGCGGAAGGCAGGCGGGCGCTCCCGCAGCTCGCGGTACTCGCCGTTGCGGCCCCCTGCAACAGTCCGTCAAATTCACCATCACGAACGCTCTACAAATTAAAGAGTGTACATAGTATGCTCTAACTGGAGCATGCCAGCAAGCACGCTCTAGCTAGCGCATGCCTGCCAAGCATGCACTAACTAGTGCATACATGTCATGTACACGCTTCCTGATGCAGAAAAGTCCCTATCCCTTATGCGGTAAATGTATGCTTCAGTTAGCGTGTACATGGCATGTATGCACTAGTTAGAGCATGCTTGGCAGGCATGCGCTAGCTAGAGCGTGCTTGCAGGCATGCTCCAGTTAGAGCGTACCATGTACACTCTTTGATTTGTAGAGCGGAACAGAGCCCTTACCCAGCCACAATTAGGTCTTCGTCGATGGAAAATCCATCGATTCTACGTCGAACCCATGTCGTGTCTAACACCTAATTCTGGTTGGGTACACGCATTTTGAGCACGTGTTCCCTCTCATCCGTCAATCGACATTTTACCAATAATTATTGACATTTCTACGCATTCATAGAGTTTTGTTAAGAAGCTTAACAGATTTGTCAAGACGAAATTAAAAATAATTTTTTCAAAACAAATAAAAATGTAAATACGCTTATTCTTAGTTCGTAAATTACAAATCATTTTCTTTTCAAGCTCATGTATGCTCAAAATACTTTGTTATGAAAAGCTACTTTTCTTTGTGAGACCTACAATAGTTCGAAACACTCTCAGCACGTTACTGACTTTTTCCTCATTACCTTAGTAATCGTATAACCAACAATAATACTACGTATTTTTTAAGTAAGTGTAACTAAGATTAGGGAATTTTTCCTTTGTAAAATTATGTTGAAAACCAAATTGTCTGTACATTATTTCACATTTCCTGAGTAGTTCCTTAAAAGAGAAAAAGAACGTATTACGGTTGATAAAATTACTTGGGTAAGTACTGACAAAATGAGCAAAAAGCGAGGGGTGAATCACTCAGCGTTCTGGTGTACACATGAGTACATGAGTACGGGTGAGTACACCCTCTAATACACATAAATTTCACATTTTAAATAGTTTTTTGCTTTATTTAGCCGTTCAGACAACACACAACGCCAAATAGTGTAAGAAATGAACGAATTTTGCTCTTTTCAAACTTGTGAGTACACTGAGTACGGGCCAATTTGTACACATGAGTACACGAGTGATTCACCCCTCGGCCTAAAGTCAGTAACGTGCTAGGAGTGAAGGATTTTCAGAGTGCACCAGCAGGGCTTGGTGCTCACCGATGGCCTTCTTCCAGACGGTGGTGGGCGGCGGCACGCCTCGGGCGCGGCAGTGCAGGAAGGCGTGGCGGCCGCGCTCCACGCTCGAGTCCTGGGGCTCCACCTCCCAAGCGGGCGGCACTGCGGTCACACACACGCGTCAGCACACGCACACACAGACACAGTCGCTTCGACTGTCATTCACAGGGCTGCACTGAGCAGCAGGTCTCGACTCCACACACAGCTCCGTCGCTCTGCCTCTCTCGCACCCTTACGTTTGAACCCCACGAATGCGAGACAGAGAGAGACAGAGCGACGATGGCTCAGCAAGGAATCGGTCTGTTCGAACAACAGTGTTGGTCCACGAGTCAGAAAGATCGCAAATAGCGTACAATGTGGGGGTTGTTTCTAAAGGAGCACAACTTCACATCAGGTCTAATATTTTTTAGAGCAGAAGAAAAGGGCTAAAGGTAAAAGCTAACAAGTTCGAATAGGCTTAGATAAAACTTTAAGTAAGAAGTAAACTTTAAGGAAAAGGAAGTTCTTTAAATTCGAAACAACAATTGTAAGAAAAGTTGTAAGTTGTCACCTGTTTGGTTACGTTGCTGGCTTTAATCACAAATTATTTATTTTCAATTCATATGATGGAGGAGGCAAGTCACGCTTCTGACTCGAAGACCATGTTTGAACATTATGAGCGGATCACATGTTTTGGTTCAGAATTTATTTTTTTTCCTGCCTAGATATTTCCATTGATTTTGTTTAAGATATTAAAGACGTTAACTCAATTTAGAAGAGGAAATGAGTTGAATTGCGTCAAGGTAACTTAAAAAAAAATAAAAAAATAATAATGTGTATAATAGGAAATAGTCGATAGCAGCCGACTTACTGACTGTCAAGAATGTGAAACCCACAGTACACTCTAAATGTCTTGCGGTGGAAGGATATTATGGAAATTTTCATCTGAGTACGAAATACAATCGACAAAATGCCTTCACGTACTATGAATTTTAGAAGGTAAGTTACAAAGGCAGCGGCACTACTACCATAAACAAGAGAATTATTACCATAATACGGACGGAGAATCTACAGAAAAGACCTTTAGAGTGCATTGAGTGAACACGGGGAAACTGACTGAAAGATACGACTGACTCATTGCAGCATGAGTGCGGCCGTGGACGGTGGTGGGGGAAGAGGGTTGGGGCAGTCAAACACAGACATGTGTGCGCGCACACACTGCGTGCGTGGCGGCGAAGCGGTGGTGTGGTTTCACGATTTCGGTGCTCATTTGAAACCCTTCAAAGCCCGCGAAAACGCGCGGCTAAGTACATTCTAATCAAAAAAAGAATCACCTACGGAGAGCATGCGTCAAGAACAAGCAGAAAACACGCGACGAAAAAAAACACGCATTCCACCACAAAACAGAAATACGTCTAGATAGCTACCGTCAAAGAAATGGTAGATTCAAAAATAAGTCAAATGAATACGAACAAGACGTTCACAAAAGCGTGCACTGTGCCGGCGGCACAAAAGACAGAAGTATAAGAAGATTCAAAAGTTTCCAAAAAAAAGGAACAGAAGGAAAAAGCGCACGAGAAAAAGGAAGACGAGAAAGAGAGAAAGGAAAAGAGAAGAAGGAAGTGCTTACAAAAACGGTTACCTCGTGTTCGAAAGACGACAACAGGGGGTGCAACGCCACAAGCATTCACTGGCAACGGACGGACACGAACGCAGGACACACAAAGGGGCTGGGGAGGGGAGGGGGGACGAGGCAGGGCGGCCGACGGTGTTCCACGCTAATATTTCCTGTTTTTTATTTTAAGTCGAGGGCGCGTCTTTTGACAATTGTCTCAGTTTCACAGCTATTTTCTACAAACAGAGTGCCGACGGAGAGCCAGAACAAAACTATGAGTTTTATGGCGAGTTGGAGTCGTGAGGTTGGCTGCACGTCAGCGTCAGCACCAGGCTAGAACTATACCAACTCTTTTTCTAACATCAATAAAGAGTGACTAACACGGAATACAAGTTATCTGTACAGTTGCCTGTGGAAATCACCTAAAGCGTAATCGCTATGGAACTGACAGCTGTGAAAAACAATAAGGCATGCACCCCACGTACAATGTAGCTTTGTTCGCTAGTTTCTGGAGCGTGACAAAAATAATTCAGACGCAGTGTGTGAGTGTTTAAATGTGCGTGCAGGTATGAGTCCGTGATTGCATGGACACGAACTTGCAGTAAAATTCAAGCTATGTCACAGTGAACTCGGCGCAATAGCATAATGTCTCCGAGCCAAAATTTCTCCATAATAAGAAGTAATTACGTTCTTTTCACTGTGAGATACAAAGAAAAACCACGCATCAGACGGAGAAAAGCTACGTCCGCGTCCGTAAACTGTTATTCAACGAATGTGACGTCACATTCGTTAGAATGTGAATTTTGTCACGCTCGTTTGAATACGATGTCACATTCGTTTGAACGTGACACGGGCATCATGCGGCCACCTGATGCGGGTTTCACATTCGTTTAAGCGTGGATCAACATTCAAACGAATGTGACATCACATTCAAACAAATGTGACATCACATTCAAACAAATGTGACACATTTCACATTCTAACGAATGTGACGTCACATTTGTTGAATAACAGTGATATCAGGCTTTGTGACACGCCCTTCATAATAAGGGAGCTTTCTTCGTAAGGCACTTCAAGTCCATGTGTATGTGACCAAGTGAGTACGTGCGTGTGCACACAAGTGTGTGTGTGTGTGTGTGTGTCCGTGTCCTTGTGTCTGTCCACGTGAGCGTGTACTCCGCCGGCCCCGCCCTGCCCGCCCCGCCCGAGGGTCAGACTCGCGGCCGCCGGTCTGCCACCGGCCTGCACCTACCTTTGACGCTGAGCGTGGCCGTGTACCTGACCTCTGCGGCCGCGTTGGTGGCTACGCAAGTGAAGCGGCCCGAGTGGGCCGCGGACAGGTTGGGGATGCTGAGCAGGCTGGTGTACTGGTCCAGCTGGGACACGCTGGGCGCTGGGCCCTCTACATGCCACGAGGCCAGGGGCGTGTCGTCCTTGAGCCACCGGATGACGAGGGGGGGATCACCCCGGCTGACCCCGCACACGGTGCGCGTGCGCATGCCCTCAGAAAGCCCGTCTTGGAATTTAAAAGGCTCAATTACGGGAGGAACTGGAAGAAAGAAGAATCGACGAGAAAAGGAGAGAGAGAGAAGAGAGAGAGAGCGTCGCGGCGGCGTCGTTGCCGCAAGAGAGAAGGGGACGGGGAGAGGGGATGAAGCGGGAGGCGTGTGAAGGGCGAGAAGGATGGCGGAAGGATGTAAGGATCGTTAATTAACGCAACCAATATCAGAACCGAGCGTAACGAAATGCAAACTTTGGAATCGCTTCTGCAGGGCCTTACAGTTGGATGTGAAGGCCCAAAAAATCAACGTAGAAACATCGAGAACAAAAAAAATGACGAGTTGCTTTTTTATAGTTTGAAATTAAGACAAAAATATTTATCAGTATTTGTTTTTCAGATATTTAAAAAATAAAATCAAAGCCGTATTGGTAAGAGCCCTTTAATATTAGAACCTAGCAGTGTAAGAAATAAATTGAGAATTTGCGGAGGTACCTCTGGGGAAAAAAATAAACCGAAGGAACCTCCGCAAATTAACGAAAATTCTTTGTGGCTTTACGAAGAAACCTTCGTAACCAAGAGTATTTCCGAATTGACGAAGGTCCCTACTGCAACATTTTTTTTTCTTTCAGAGGTTTGTTTGAAAGTAAATTCCGGAGATTCATTATCACGGTTCAGCTGGCATTCCCTTCACGCGAAACGCGACTCCGACACTGGACACGTTAAAACAAAGATCCCTGGGGCTGGCCAAGGAGGGTGGGGGCGAGTCGGGGGAAGGACCAAGTCTGGGCGAGACCGCGGCCGCGCTACGAGCTGCCATGCCGCCGGGACGCGAGGCGACCACGGACCAACTCAGGCAGCGGCGGCCTCACATTACTTCACTGCAGAGCAACAGAGTACAGAATAAAGAAGAGAGAAGGAAAGAGATATAAATGAGTAGTAGGAAAAAAAAAACATTACGGAGCAATCCACAACACAACATTACGGTAATACCATTACAGACGTTACGAAAGGTATCTACTGCCAGCCTCCAGGCCCAAGGGCGTGCCTGGGTGCGGGGCCCGCGCCGTGCCGGGTCCAAACTTAGATTCGTTTCGATACGGAAACAAGAGACGCGGCACGGCGGGGCGGGGGCGGACCAGCCGTGACCTAGATCAACCTGTCCATGCTTTGGCTGCTCGGCTGGCGCGTCCAGGTGGCCTGACCACAACAAAACTTCGTTTCGTTCCGAAGCGCGGTTTCGACGGAGGGAGAGTTGAGATAATGACAAGGCCCAGTCAGGAGACTAGTCATTTCCGTGCGAAAAAAGCGTGAAGAACCAGAGCTGGCTTGCGAGAGGGTTCGATGGTTTGGCCGGACTGGCGCAAAAACAGTTATTTCGTTTTGACTTTGAAGAAAAAAAAATAAAAATTTGAAAGCCAAGTATACTGCGAAGCCAAAGGGATTGGAAAACCCACTGCAGACCTTCACACTCATCTGCAGGCCAGAGCCTGCACCGTCGGAACCAATCTTGGAAATTCCCGGAGAGTTCATTCTTGAGAAAAATTGCCTCCGTTCAAGCGATTTTTGAAAATAAAACTTAAAGATCTTGATTTTGAATGAATGTCTGGCAGCACTTTTGAAACCTTTCGAACAGTTTTAAGTCGCGCAAAGAAAAGTACCCTGTCATATCAAGGCATTGCAAGCATGTGTAAAAGCTTACATACGAAAATGCTTCAGGTACCCTTCGTATGCTTCAAACAGGTTTTAGCCGTGTCTGATTGTTTTTTTTTTTTTTTATAAAAAAAGTTTAAATATACGCAAGGAGCTGCAATGGAAATTGGAAAACAAAAAAATCTCTCCTGCAGGGCTCCTAGTGAAGAGAGGCTATAGGTCCACAACGACCTTAAAAACGATAGACCTTTAGAAATTCCCAACAAAGGCTCGGATATCACTCACTTTCCGGGAGTTTCCACAAAGTTTCCAACAGTGCACCGGGCCGGTCCTGGACGCGCCACCCCGCCCCTTCCCCGCACCCGGCGCGGCCGGCCGGCGAGGCGGCCTGGAGGCGTTTCGTTCGAGCGACAAGTCCTTGGCGACCGTACCGTTGACCAACAAGTCCTGCGCCTGCGACACCTCGGCCGCCTGGTTGGTGGCGGAGCACGCGTAGGCGCCGCTGTGCTCGGGGGAAAGGCTCTCGATCAAGAGAATGCTATTGTACTGGTCCACGCGGTTTTGGACCACCCTGCCGGCGCCGCCCCGGCCGCGGCCCTGGGCTGGCTCGCCCGCCGCCTCCAGCGGCAGCCCGTCTTTCAGCCAGTGCAGCTGCAGCGGCTGGTCGCCCGACACCACGGAGCAGGTGATGGAGGCGCGCTCGCCCACGTGCAGGGACAGCGGCGGCCCGAAGGGGCTCAGCTTGGGAGGAACTGGACAACACACCGCTACACTGTTAGACGGGGTAGGGACTGACTGATGGGTAATCAGGCTGACAGCAAATTGGTAATTCATACCAGAAACTGGAATGTAATAATCAGGCGGTAACCCGGGGAAATCCGATTGAAATACGACATAATGGCCATCTTCGACATTGGGTCTTTGGGCCGCGAAAGAGTTACGAAAGGATATGTTACTTGAGGATACTGTTGTAAGAGATCACATTTCGCGGACGAAGAGGTTTTGCGAAAGAGAGTCGGTTAAAGTCAAGGTTAAAGCAAGGGACTTTTAGTTAGAGAACAAACTTCGCGGTAGGTAAGTCATGGTAAGTGCTATCCTTGAGTATGCAATCATATTTAAGGACCAGTACGTATGAGGAATAACTACTAGGTAAGCACTCCAGATAACACTTTTTTCAAGATGAATAACTGCCCTTTGGAAAGGATGACCGAAAATATAAAGAAATTGATGCAAGGTCCTTAAGGAAGGGATCAGTTAGAAAAGGGATTGTTACTTCGAGGTTGCCTTCCCAACCGAAGCGACGGATGCTAAAATGATGCAGGTTACAGAAAATCAGAGATCAAATCACACAAACACAAAAAAGAGAAAGATGAAATGTTAGTACACATCCTTTACCAAAAAAAGTATATCACTAGGATATTTTCACGAAGAAACGCAACAAGTAATACAGCTTCGACCGATGAAGCCCACGCTTTAAACGATGGGATGGGTTAAGAGACGAAAAAGAAACCCTCGATGCATAAACATACACGAGGGGACTACAAATATAGCGCGCCATAAAAACTTTCATTGTGTAAACTGGTACAGAAAACATTTACGGAACGACCATAGTCAGCAACGTACGTCCAGGTATAAAATTGATGTTTTGTTCTTTTTACAAGATGTTTTTTCTACAAGTAGCGCGGTTGGTAATTGACCATACATTTTAACTCGTAATTTTCAGTGCTTTTTTTTTTCTACCAGTGCAGTGGGTGGCAAGCTCGCCTTACCGATGACCTGCACGTCGGCGCTGCGCCTGGCCGTGTGGCCCTGCTTGTTGCGCGCCGTGCACGTGTACAGCCCCGCGTCCGCCGCCTTCTGCACGCGCTCCACCTGCAGCACGCCGCTGGGGAACACCTTCTGGCGCAGGTCCTCGGGCAGCTCCGCGCTCCCTGCCGACGGGAAATCACTATCAATTTCAGTGTGATCAATTTCAGTTGAACTTCAATGAAATTCAGATGAAACCTACTGAGTTTTGAGAGGAATTGCAATAATGTTTTTTAATGTTAATGAATTTAATGAATTTTACATATTTGATAAATTTAAATAAATTTTACATGTTTGATGAATTTTGGTGTACAAATTTGGATGGAGCTATTTCCCCTTACTCCCTGCAACGCAACATCGTCAGCGGGCTGCTCTGGCAAAAGTTAGGTGTACACTGAAATCTTGAGTGTGTTCTCAGTTCAGGGCACTTTAAGTGCGTCCTGACTACAGAGCACTCAAGTTACTGAGTGCAGAGCACATAAGTCTGTACTGAGTACAGAGCACTTAAGTGTGTACTGAGTGCAGAACACTTGGGTGTGTACTGAGTGCAGAGCACTTGTGTGTGTACTGAGTGCAGAGCACTTGGGTGTGCACTGAGTGCAGAGTACTTACGTGTGTGTGTACTGAGTGCAGAGCGATTACGTGTATACTGAGTGCAGAGCACTTGTGTGTGTACTGAGTACAGAGCACTGGTAATGAATACAGAGCACTGAAGTGTGAACCGAACACACAGAGCATTAGGTGTGTAATGAGTAAAGAGTACTGAGTACACACTAAAATTTTCAGAGTAGCACCACGCTTTCATTCAAGCATGCACCGAAAACCTCACTGCGCACCTCTCTCCCACTTGATCTCCTCGATGGGGAAGCCCGCCACGGGACACTTGATCTCCATCGTCTCCCCGGCCACGGCCGTCACCTTGGGGATCTGCCGGATGTAGGGCAGGCCTGCAATCACGACAAAACGGTCAGCATCCCCGTAGCAGTGCTTTCACTCTTGAGGTGTGAGCGTTCGCACATAGTAAACATACTTCAGTTCCACTGTGTTGACAACAGTCAAATTTTTTCAAAGCACAAACAACATGAATAACAGAGGGAAAAAAAATTGATCAAACTTTATCAATGTACATTTTTTTGGCAGGTACTTACCGTACACGTTGAGCCTGGCGGCGTGGTGCGCCTGCCCCGCCCGGTTCTCCGCCACGCAGCGGTACTCGCCGCCGTCCTCCACCGTCACGTGACTGATGTTGACGTGGCTGATGACGTCACCGTGCACCGTCACGTACTGCCCGATGAGGAACCTGAACAGGCAGCAGGTTGAGCAATGGCGTCAAGTAACTGACAATGAAAGCGTCGCCACCACGAGGAAGTTCCTCGAAAACTCATGAAATATACGCAAAATTTCAAGAAATCCTTCAAAACCTGGCGAGGTGTACACATAATTTCAAGTAAATTTGGTTGCAACCCATTGAAATTCATCCGATATTCACATGGAATTGGAAGGATTTTACACTTGAATCAAATGATTTTTTTAAGCACGTGAATTCAAACGGTTTAACACTCGTATTCAAAGGTTTTTACTCTTGAGCCCAAGGCTTTCACACTTGAATTCAAAGGTTTTTACACTGGAATTCACTAGTTTGTACACTGAAATACAGGGGCATTTGGCCTTACCGGTGGTTGGTGGGCAGCGGGAAGCCGTCCAGGCTCCACGAGATGGTGGGGGTGGGCTGGCCGGCGGCCGAGCACTTGAGCGACACAGACGGCCCGGGCTGGAGCGTCTGCTCGATAAAGCTGTATTGCAGGACGGGCGGGGCATCTGCGGAGCGAGGACAGGGATCAAATCAGTACCGAACTGCAGAAGGCCTACGAAAAAGGGGGAAGGGGTGGGGAAGCAGCGAGTGTGGTTTGTATTGGAAAGGGAGGAGGCAGAGTGTGGAAGTGGAAAGTAAACAAAAACAAAACAAAAAACAAACAGAAAACTTGGACAAGAAAGATCCATAGTTTAATGAATAATCATAGTTACTGAACTGAGAAAGCCTTACAAACTAGTTTAGGCCTTACAAAGAAAAGTAGTTTGTTTTAACAAAGTATTTTGAGCATACACAAGCTTACAAAGAAAATACTTCGTAATTGACGAACTATTTCTTTGTATAACAAAGGACATTAGTTCGTATTACGTATGATCAAAAAACTTCGTAAGGTTTTAAGCGTGTACAGTGTACAGGCTATGTGAATTATCAATTTTAACTACTCATCTCTGAGGCGAATTTTACAAATTGCTCTTTCCGCTGATCAACGTAGAGGTGAGCATCCCAAACGCAAAGTTAGGTCAACCAAATCCATTTCGAACGTCTCCACATTGCAATCATCAAAGCTTATGAAAGCTCAAGTCTCGAAATTTGTCTGTAAACTATAAAATGTGGTTTCCCTTGATGCAATCTCCACTTTATTCCCGATCCGCGCCGAGTGATCAGCATTCCCTTCTTGTGGCTTCTGCCTCGGGTTTTTGCTCCGCCAACTTCCCGTCGAGTCACTTGCGCACCGACCGCGGTGGTGCGGTCCACGGCGGCAGACTCACAGTGCAGCAGCGTGGCTCATCTCGGCGCGGGGGCCGCGCTATTAATTAACCAGAGGCCCTTCGCGCGCTGCCGCCTTTCTCTGTCTCTGTCTCTCTCTCTCTCTCTCTCTCTCTCTCTCTCTCTCTCTCTCTCTCTCTCTCTCTATCACACACACACACAATTTTACTTTTTTCTCCGCTTGCCTATATGTCTAGTTTTGGTGTCAATGTATGCAACTATCCACAACCATCTCCAAGGAAGAAAACAAATTCCACGCCAGCGCGGCATAAACTTGAAACATATAAACAAATAGGCCGAAGAGGGCCTGCTGCTTTTCGCATCGGGAGTCACCGCTTTAAAAGTGGGGGCCGCGATAATTTTGTCGCACCGCGGGCGGCACAAATGATGATAATAATTACTTTCCAAAAGAACAAAAAGAAGAAAAAAAAAAAGAAACCTGCCGAGGAAACCTTTCATCATCAATATCCCGCCGGCCGAAAAGAAAGATTCCGGTGCCATTTTTATCTGTTTTTGTTACTTTTCTCGTGCCATAAAAAAAGGAGAAGAAGTGCATCTTCGTGGGGCAGCGGCGGAAAATTGTTTGCTCTCTGTGTCACCTGCTGCGAGGCGGACGGACCACTTTCGTATTTTCCACTTCGCCGTCCTCCGGCCGGGAGGGGGGGGGGGGATGAGGAGGGAAGGGAAAAGAGGGAGGCGGAAATGAAGAGAACGGAAAGGGAGAGGCAGTGGAGGGGAGAGAGAGAGGGGGGGAGAGAGAGGGGGGAGAGAGGGAGGGGGAGAGAGGAGAGAGAGAAAGAGAGGAGAGAGTGAGTGAGAGGCAGGCAAAAGAGCGAGGAGGAAGAAGGAGGAATCGATGGGACGCTATAACTCGCCACAGCTCGGGTGCTCTCCGTCGATCTCTTTTTATTGCTCCATGGCTGTCGCCGGAATATTGGTCTCATCTTCGGATGAAGCGATCGGCCGCCACCCGTGGCCCTGCGCTCCACGCTGCACCCCGCCACACAGTGGGCCAGAAGGCCGGTGGACGCGGCCAAAACTCTGGACGCGTTGTGAGCTCCAGAGTGCTGAACAGGGCTCGAACCAAACGTGTGACCCCACCAATGGATTCCTCGTTCGGAGAGCATTCCATTGGTGGGGTCACACGTTCGGTTCGAGTCCCATTTAGCGACTCTGGAGCTCAAAACGCGTCTATGATTTCGACCGCCTCCGCCGGTCTTCTGGCCCACTACACTGTGCGCACCCCGCTTCGCCAGGACAGGCAGCGCCACGCCACTGCACGCCGTACGCTACACTACGCACCACACAGCGACGCGCTACACTGGAGACGCACTCTGACGGGCGCATGCTGCCTTGCACATCAGCCAGGCTGCACTCGGCGCACTGACCCGGAAAGCGTATTAATTAATTAAGTGTTCGGAGCGCTGCGTTAATGTAATCCAATACGACGGCGTGAACTCTCCGTCCGGTGATTCCGCTACGCGCGGAAAGGCTTTAGTCCCGACACTCGATGCCTGCGCTCGCTTGGATGCTTCGAGGGTCTGGTTCGTCATCACAGCCATCGAGAATACACTGCGAGAAAAAAGTAGAGAAAAAAGTACGGAACATGTCTGGTCAATGATTTGCCTGGACCGTCCGTACCTTTCATACTACTGAACTTCTGTACTATTTTCCGTACTCGGTTACATTAGTTCTTATGGGACAAGTACGGACGCTCCGTACTTTTTTCCGTGTACCATTTTTCGTCTGTACATTTTCCGTACGAAAGTATGGAATTTTATACAGTGAACGTCGAACGTTGTGTGATGCATCTCAAACTGGAAAAGCGTGGAATTTTGTTCGATGAACATGGAAGATACACTTCAGAAGAGTTGAGTGCAATCGAGTTCGATGACGGGTAATGATCAAGTCGTGTTGCGTCTAGCAAGACAAGCCTATCCCAACCACTTATATTTTGTAACTGTTATGCCCCTTCTTAAGAGTACACTGGTAGAACTCGAGCGTAGTTTTACGCCTTTCTTCAAGCGTAGTAGAACTACGCTCGGCTTCAAGCGTAGTTCTCCATTTTGCCCCTCTCCCGCCTATCTAAATGCATAGGAGAATTTCTTCTCTACGCTTGACGTCAAGCGTAAAGTCTTCAAGCGTATCTGTATGCTTGAATCAAGCATACAACTACGCTTGAGTTTTACCGGTGTAGCACTACAGTTAGTTGATCCTACATTGAGCTACAAGTCGGGTTCGAAGACCGCCCGTTCGCAAGCTGGTCAAGGCTGAAAGATTTGCAGGAGGGGGATACGGAGGGGTTATGAGAGAGAGAGAGAGAGAGAGAGAGAGAGAGAGAGAGAGAGAGAGAGAGAGAGAGAGAGAGAGAGAGAGAGAGAGAGAGTGGTGCGGTGGATTGGGTAAGGGGGACGAAAGCGGAACCAAATTATTCCATTATGACGCGCCCCAAAAGAAGCTCATCAAAGAAACACCTTGCTGATTGCATCTGCCCGCATGGCCCGCCGAGCGGGGCTGCAGCGCAAGCAGGATCCCCCTCCCTCCCTCCCTCCTGGCGCAAGGCAAGGCGGTGTTACAATCTTGCGGAAGATACAAAAAAAAACCTCCACGCTGCGTTAGATTTAAAAAGGGGGGTTGTCATCGGAAGTAAATTATGAAGGCTCTGAACAACACCCACCCCACCCATACAGTCTCGGAGTGACATGAAGATTCTACATATCGTGGTGGAAGTCTCGCGAATTGGCGCAGCTGACTTCGAAACTTACCTCCACACCATAGATATTTTGTCGAATTTCTTTCGTAAAACAGTGTGAAGAATGTCGCCATCGTAATGTGTTGGCGCAGCCTATCACCGTAAGACATCGAGAGAGCATGATTTTCCGCTACGAGTCCGAAACAGCAACGAACTGTCTGACAGAGAGCCTTGTGAAGCGCCTGTGAATCCCAGCGTAGGCAACGCGCCACGCAAACGTGCCCGGCGGCACGGCCCACCCGTCGTTGCGCAGGCGTCATGGCTGACCGATGCAAGGGCCAACTCACTTCAAACGACTTCAATACGACGAGATCGATTCGAGGAGGCTAAAGGTTTCAACTGAGTAGTTTAAAAAAGGGCATTTAAAGGGATTATCAACAATGTTGCCAACTCGCACATCAAATGTGTAGGTAGAATTTTGTGCGTGCAGCTTGCACGATTTTGTGCATGCGTGGAATTTGCATAATAGCATGCGTAAAAATGCATAAATTTATGCAAATTCACGCACAATTCTGGGCACGACGGTACACAAGTTTAAGGAGGCACTGATCTACTCTCAAATGGAACATATTCATTGTAAGTTGCAAGGCATAGCAACATCGTTCACGAAAGTGGAAGCACATACCTACTCCACCAGTTATAGAGAATTATTACTTCATGCACAAGTCGTAACTGATTCATCTAATATTCATAACTGAGTTTGATCATTACTTTTTGGCGATAATTCGACAAACACGTGCTTCAGGTCTCCATTACCATACAGCTGTGTGCGCTCCGCTCTAATCTGTTCGAAGCACATGTAAAATGTTCGATATAGTGACTTATTTTGATGAGAATGCAACTGTATCAAAATAAAGTTGGACCAGTGGCCGATGCCCGCTTTATTGCAATGAGCCTAAAGCAGTGATGTCCAGAACAATATGTGCTTTGCTAGGCCGATTTCCAAGATATCTTAGGCCCTCGAAAAAACGCCTTCCGATTAAGTAGCTCAAATTTATTTTGACATTAACTATTTTACTATACACCTCCACATTTCTACACTCGGGCATCTTTGAAAATATGCAATATTTTCAGTAGAACCTCCCCTTAAAACTGTGCATCACCACGTACAAAATGAACATAAACATTAAGTGCAAGGCAACGCAACATCGTGTCACAAAAGGAAGACACATTCTATCCTACATTATAACGCTCATTACTTCATGCAATATGTTCATAACTAAGTTCATTATATTCATAACTAAGTTCATTATATTCATAACTAAGTTCATTTTATTCATAACTAAGTTCATTATATTCATAACTAAGTTCATTATATTCATAACTAAGATCATAATATTCATAACTAAGTTCATTATATTCATAAGTAAGTTCATCATTACGTTCATTACAGGCGAAAAATTCGCACACACTGCTTCACGGTCTCCTTCCAACAGTGTGGCGCCGCCTCCGCTCCTAATCGTGCGAGGCACATAAAGTGCGCAAGGACATTATTTGATGATGCATGCCTCTGTTTCATTAAAGTTGCGACAGAGTGCCGGCCCGCTAATTACGTGCCTGACGCGCTGCGGACCGCAATATGTGCTGCCAGGCCGTTTACCAAGTCATCTTTCCCCCACCACCGCCCCGTTGTAGCTCGCGTTTATTTTTATTTTTTTCACCTCCCACACACTTGCATCTTTTTTTTTCGTCTCCCTCTGCCTGAATTGTGCCGTTTTGCCGCCTCGGGCTGAAAATGCAGCGAGTGCGTCGTACGCCTCGTGCGGCGCCCTCCTCTCGCTTTATTTTGTCCTTCTATCACCTCTCTCTCTCTCTCTCTCTCTCTCTCTCTCTCCTTTCCCTCACACCTTCCCTACTTAGATTTTTTTCCCGCCTGCCCCCTTTCCGCGCGTACCGGCGCTGTTCCCCGTCGCGTATTGCTATGCGCCGCGCTAAATGAGATATTATGAACTTGTTTATTTTCCCCTCCATTCTGTTATTCGCTTTTTTTTGTTTTGCAGCCATCTTTTTTTTATTTTATTTTTGTACGTCGTTGCCCTGCGCCTACGCGGTAACGAGCCAGGCGTTCATTAGGAGGATGGGGAAAGGGAGAAAGGGGGTGTGGGTGTGAGAGAGAGAGAGAGAGAGAGAGAGAGAGAGAGAGAGAGAGAGAGAGATAGAGGAACGGGGACGGGAGGAGAGGAAGGGACGATGTAGTGTGTGCAGCAGCGGTGAATGACATTTAGCCCTCGCAGCGCAAGCCAGCAACATGTCGATCGCGCCTACAATGCACGGCGCATGTCAAACTGTACCCCTTTTTCTTCCCCCGTTTAACTTAAAAAAGAAAATAAAATAAACTGCTGCAAACGACAACTGGGAAAAACACAAAGAACAGCAAACGAGAGCATTCCTGGCGCAGCGTTCCCACAGCGAGAGAGAGAGAGAGAGAGAGCGAGAGAGAGAGAGAGAGAGAGAGAGAGAGAGAGAGAGAGAGAGAGAGAGGAGAGAGAGAGAATGGGGCCAGGGCGAGCGTCAAGCACGCCAACTGACAATAATTGTATCGGCTCCGTATGAAGTGAGGCACGTAGCACCCACTCGCCAGATTTCGCAACGCACGACCGACTCCACACACTGCCAAAAACGTAGAGAGACTAAAGAAGGTCACAAAATCCTCAAACCGCGTTGTCTAGCTATCATCGTCTACCGTTTTGACAGACTAACGTCCTTAAAAGGATGCAACTGTCGAAACACTGGACTGCACTTGCACTCACCAACCACGCAAGACTGCACAAATGGAGGTATACTACCAAAAGTAGCGTTCCCGATGACAGTTTTGTCAGAAATGTTGGTTGACACCTTTACTGAGACTTTGGTTGACACATAGGTTAATACCTTGGTTGACACCTGACGTAACAAGACACCCCCTCGCGGGCAGACAGAATAAAACGTCCCTGGAGACTTTAGTGGGCCAGTAGGGCAGCCAGCAGGGCAGCTGTTGTAAACTTACTTTCGCTTTATTTTCGTTTTATTAATTATTTCTGATTAACGAGCCAATGCGCTCGATCGGCGTAGGCACGCCCTAAATAAACAGTCGCTCGCACGACGGGTTCCCACCCGCCAGCGAGCCCGGGCGACTTCACACCTTTTGGGTAGTCGCGCCTCCGAATAGCTCCGCAGCTACTTTCGCACGCTGCTTCTCGAGCCAGGCCTTAGGCCCTAGATAAGAGGGTTGTTCTCCCTTCCAAAACGAGCCCTCGAGGACCTTGCGGTCGGGCTCCAGAGTCAGTGTGAGCCGAGCAGAGCATCGGGCAGCACCTCTCAGCGAGACCCTCCTGGACGTGTGAGTACGACCCGGTAGGAGTGCCGAGTTAGTCAGAGCTCAAGGTTAGGTTGGGTTTAGTGCTAGAATAGGTAGGTCTAGGACTCAGCCCTGTAGTGACTGTACTAAACTGAACCACCGTTTGCTATTTCTGAAGAATAGATTGGAAGTCACTTATCTTTGGTGTTTGTGTTTCTTGAGTAGTTTCCCCCATTCTTGAACTCTGACACGCTACCACCACTTGCACATCAAGAACCCGCGGCCACGAGGCTAGCCCTCACAACATGGTGCATCGGCCTACTTGATGTCCTATTTGGCTTGGTAGTGTGTTCAGCCCCCCTTTTTTTCCCTGGTCCTTCGGCCTGGGGACCTTGTGTCGCTGTCCGAGTCCATTTTCGACTGTGTTGTGTCTGTGTCGCCGCAGTGTTTTGTGTGAAGTGAAAAGTGACCTTGTGCCTTGAGTGTCGTGAAATTGTGACAGTGTCTCTTGTGTTGTGTTCTGGTGAAATTGTTGGAAATTTTTTTTCCTACCCTGTGCTTGTGATCTTTTTGTGACTGTGTGAGCGTGCGCTTTCATGACTGAATCGCCCGTCGACGCCGTGATCGGCCATTTTATTCGTGCTAATATTTCTAATCCTAGTACGGACGAACCTTACTTCGTCCTTTCGGAAAGCTATCCGGTTAGTCTTAAACACGCGGATGCGTTAGCCTGCCACTTGCTCAGCTGCTACAAGTCCCTTGAATCGGCGTTTTTGAAGCCGAATCAACGCGAGGCCAAGCGCGCCCAGGCGCTGCGCTTTTTCGCGCAGACCGGCCCGCGTGCCGAAGGCCCCACTTGGGTCTTCTTTCCCGCTGATACGCCGGCCACCGAGTTCGGTAAGCCGCGTATTTTTCTGCCGGCCCTCGTCGCCTTCCTCGACTACCTGCCGACGTTAGGCCTGTCGGCCCGGCAAGTCCGCGACGCGGTCCGCGATTTAGTTGCGTCGCTTTCCCTGTGTGCCGCGGACTACACGTTCGTATCACGTCCGCTCATTCCTTTACGGCACAGGGTGCCGCGCCTTTTGCCTGCCGAGGCCCTGTCGCCCGCCACGTCTCCCGTGACGGCCGGCCGCCCGGTTAGCTCCCCGCCGCCTCCGTTTCCGGAGTTTTCGTCGCCAGCGCCTAGCCGCTCTTCACGCCGCTCGGGCCCACGCGACGCGTCCAGCTCGGACTCCGAGCCGTGCTTCCGCTCCGTGTCGCCGCGCTCGCGCTCCGCGTCGCCGCGCTCTCGTTCATCGTCGTTGCACTCGCTTTCTCAGTTGCCGCGTTCACGCTCGTCGTCGCCACGCTCGCGCTCCGCGTCACCGCGACGCTTGCGTTCCCCGCCGCTGTGTTCACTGTGGACACCTAGCCGGCCACGCTCCGCGTCGCCGCGTCCTCGCTCGGCGTCCCGTCGCTCGCGCCTAGCCCCGTCGCGCTCGCGTTCCGCGCCTCGCCCGCGCACCGCGCTCGACCGCTCTCCTGCCGCGAGTTTCGGCGTCCCGTCGCCTGTCCCTGCCGGACACGCGTCCTTCTCTCGCAGCACTTCTTCGTGGATTTCTTTCGGCCAGCTTTCGTACTTCGAGGAGTCCGAGTTCAGCCCACCGGCGTCGTTTGAATTTGAGTCTACGTCCACCGAGCCCGAGTGGGACGATTTTCACAGCTCCCGGACTCTTACCCCACCCCCACCGCCCGTCATGGCGGCACCGTTGTTGTCGTTTGCTCCCGCACTGCCAAAGTTCGGCGGTGCCCCGGACGAGGAGTGCGCTCAGTTCCTGTCGCGCCTAGATCGTCTCCTTGGCCTGTACGACGATGTGACACCAGAACAAAGGTTGTTTTACTTGGAAAACTGTTGTACGGGTTCTGCTCATACGGTCGTGACGCGCACGCTCCGTGAGCAGGACGCCTTACAACCTGCCGTCGCTGCAAATGCTAAGTACCAGGCCGTGCGTACCGCTCTGGAGACAGCCTTTCCTACTATACTTGATAAGCAGCAGTTGCGCGATCAACTTCAGACTCGCATTAAAAAGGAGTCTGAAAGCTACGCTCAGTACGCCCAGGATGTTCTCAAGTTGTGTCAAAAGCTTGGTATTGTTGATGTGGCGGAGCAGATCCAGGAAATCCACAAGGGTGTAGACTTGTCCGTCGCCGCGGCGCTTCGGCCGAGTGACTACCAAACCGTGGATGCCTTCCTGCGAACTGCCCACTCGCTAGAGGCGTCGCACCGCGCTGCGGTCCGCGCCCACACTCAATACAACTTGATGAACCGCCTGCCGGCCCCAGCTTTTGCCATGCAAACCCCGGTTGTCGCGGCCGCGCAAGCCGCCCTCCCGGCCCTTCCGGCCCTGCCTCAGCCCGCGGTAGCGGCACCCGCTGTGCCCGCCCCCACCCTTCCCCCTGCCGTCCCCTCCGCTCCCCAGCCCCAGGTAGTGCAGCAGCCCGCTGGAGGTGACGCGCAGCCCAAGCCTTCTGCGACTGCGGATGACGCACTGCAGAAAATTATTGAGAAGCTTGAAAAGTTGACCGTTGCTGCGGTCAATGCTGTGGCAGCCGCGCCCCAACAGCAGTCTGGTAATCAGGGTAACCAAGGTAATTTCCAGGGACAACGTCGTAATAAATTCAATAAATTCAATAACAATAATAATAACTTCAATGCAAATAGTAACTTCAATGCTAACAATAACAATAATTTCAATAACAATAATAACAATAATTTTGCTTATAATAATGGGTTCAATAACAACCAGCAGCGAGGTTATGTTCAAAATGGTGTGTATGTGGGCACTGGTCAGTATGGTCCCCAAGTGCCGTGGCACACTTCAAACATGCCTCAGCAGCAAGGCCCGCCGCGCGCCACTAATCCCTCTTACCGTGCCCCTGGCCCCGAGCGGGACTTCGCCGTCCCTGCCTTCAATGGCCCTAGCGGCCAGCAGGGTGCGGGAGGCCAGCAGCGCCGCCCCCTGCAGTGCTACTATTGCAAGGGACCGCATCCCATTCGGTTGTGCCCGGTCCTTCAATCTCTGACAGGTGTTCCAAAAAACTAGAGTCGGCAGTGGAAGGCTCGTCCCAGCTTCCCACTGCTACTCCTCCCCCTTCCCCACCCCCTCCCTTACCTGATCCTCCAATGGAGCCCCCGGACCTTCCTTATGAGGCCATAAAGAGCACCGTGTCGGTGCCACTGGACGGTAATTGTTTGTTTACCAGTGTGGCGACAAGCCTGTGGGCAACGCCAACCGCAGCTCCTGCACTGCGACAGGCTGCAGTTCGCCTGGTTATGGCTAATTGGGATTACTTCGGGGCTTTCATTATGCTTCCTGGGTCTGACAAGGCCCCTACTCCAGAAGAGTATGCAGCTCACATGGGCCAAGACGGCGCCTTCGGTGCCGAGCCAGAAGTGCAAGCGTTAGCGCGCATTTTGGGTGTGATCATTGCAGTGTACACGCCAGGTGGAAAATATGTGTACCGGCCGTTGGGCCCGCCCGAGCATGTTATCTTTCTGAAGTTTTTCCCACCGCTGGATCGCGGCCACTACGAGTGTTTCCACCCTCGGTCGCTGCAGATCCCTCGGCTCACGCCTTCCCCTGTCCCCCTCCCGCCCCTTGGCCCCGCTGCCGCAGCGCGCGCAGCCGAGGCTGTGTCTCAGCCCGGAGCCAAGCCGGCACCCGCTCCCACGCCCGCCGTGCCCTCGGTTAGTGATAAGCCTCCTTCTGCGCCGACCCAATGGACGCAGGTAACACGGCGTCGCCACAGCGTGCCCGCCGTGTTCAAGGTGTCGGAGGCCACACTTCCCGTGTCAACACGGTTTGCCGCCTTGCAGGTGCCTGACGCTGAGGCAGCCCCATCGGACCTGCTCGCAGGCCCCAAGGCTCCTCAGGTCGCTCGCTCGCCCTCCCGCTCCCCTTCCCCCTCGTCCCCACCTCCACCCTCTGGTGCAGAAGACGGCTACACGAGCGCGTCCAGCACCGGGTCGAGCAAAGCGTCCCGTCGCCGCGCGCGCCGCACGCGCCGCGCCGCCACGGAGTCTGCTCTGCCCCTCTCCTTTGCTGCAGCATGCAACATTGCGCCCCCGCGCCGGACTCAGTTCAAAATTGAGATCGGCCTCCCTTGTGGTAAAGTCCAAGCTTTGGTGGACAGCGGGTCAACTTTCAGTGTGATTGACTCGCGCTTGCCGCCCGCCACTGCGGTGCTGACTGATAAAAGTCTGCCTACCCTTCGCGCCGCGGCTGGTTCTGTGTTACGCCTTACGGGCACCTACCCTACAGTGGTACAGTGTGGTGATCGCGAGCGTGCTCACACGTTCCTTGTCTGTAAAAATCTAAGTGAGGAAGTCATTCTGGGCCTTGATTGGCTGTACGGGACGAAGTCCGTCATTGACTTCAGGCAGGATAATTACACAATTACCTGCAGTGGCTTCACACAGACAGTGGAACCTGTGACATGCAGCATCACGAACGTAAAGTTGTTGTTCCGTGGCGACGCCACGCCGCCCCCGCGGCCCCCGTCGGCACCGCCCGATTCCTCTCCCCTTCCTTCTCCTCCACAGCCCCCTTGGCCCGCACCCCCTCCTCCCCTTGCTGCCCCTCCTTCCCCGTCCCCTGCGGCCTGCTCTCTCGCCCCGGCCTTCTCGGAGCTGGACCCGCTTGCGGTCTACTCGAGCCAACGCACCGCCGTTGCCGAGCGCTCCGTGCTTATCAAACCTGGCCGCTGCGTGAGGGTCCCCTTTACGGCCCACCCTCTACCTGTCGACGAGCCCTGCCGGCTCCAAGTCAAGCCGTCCCTTCGTGAGCAGTTGCGAAAAATTCGATCGGAGTTTGTGATTGATGATCGCGACAAGTCCTTGGTCTTGCGTAATTTGTCAGATGACAATGTGTTAATTACGAGAGGCTCGAGGATAGGTAAAATTATTTCTTGTAACATGCTAGAGTGCGAACCGGCCTTCCCTGTGGGCGAGCCCCCGTGGCCCCCTGACAGAGACCGGCCCCAGCAGTCGCACAATACGGAGCTGTATGTCCCTACCGCCGTTCCCCCACCTCCCACCCCTCCGGCGTTTGATGTGTCCCCCGATTTGACCACGGAGCAAAGACAGCAAGTTGATGAGCTTCTTGAGTCGTATCGCGACATTTTCGTTTCCGATTTGTCTGAAATGACACGAACGTGCCGTTACGAGACTTCTCTGGTTATGAAGGACAATGCCAC